ACTATCAAATAACATATATTTATTTATTTTAAAAAGAATTAAATTAATATAAATGAGCTTTTAAGTGTTAATTTCACTATTAATGATTATTAAAATAATCAAAACTTTTTTTTTATTTAATTGTTAAATAATTAATTAATTAAAGAAAGAAATATTTATTATAATTTAATAGTGATATTTCCAATTTAAATCAGATAATTAAATTAAACTTGTCTTTGCATTATGGCTCACGGTTAGCTTACTATACTTCGTAGGTATAGTCAAATTTTTTGCAAATTATCTAGTTTTTAATAGTTATTTACAAAATGGATTTTAACACCTATCTACCAAAGTTGCTGAATATATTTAAACAAATTAAATATTTTTCCTAAGAATAGCATCAGTCTGTATGGCAATAATATCTGAATCTGTATCGATTTAAATAAATTTAATCATATTAATTTCTAATATATAGCTCATATTTATTTTATACCAAATTTCAATTTAATACTTTTATAAATAATATGACAACCATAGTTTTGATTGTTCAATTTATATGACAGATATAGAATACATTCATCACCATCCGTGACTATACAGTCCATGTAGGACCTAAGCCGTCCATTCTTCCCTATATTTTGCTTTTGTTTTTCAATTTCTTATGTTTATTTCTGCTGCATGTTCTTATGTTCAGTCCTGCTGCACACTGTCTTTCCATCGCTTTCCTGGTCGCCCTCTGCTTGTGCTAGTTCCTACTGATTTCTCATAAATCTTGAGCGGTACATAGAATATATTCACTCTATTTTAATTGTCCTGACAAATACTTAAGATCCATTCCTAAGAAATTTAATATACAAACTTTCAATCGTACATCTCAAACTGAGGAAATAAATAACTTTAAAAAAGATAAATATACATGAAAATTAATTTTTCTTATTGAAGTAATCAAAAATATATATTTTTCAGACCCTGAACGTCTCTAATATATCCTGTAAGGCATTATATACATATAACATTATAAATTGAAGCAATAGATTAATTTAATTGTATCATTTGCCTTTGTCATTCTTTTAGAAAATATATAGTACATATATACATAGTCTGTCTTAAAATCTCTATAGTTCCTTCACTGTGTACCTTTTTCATACTATAATTTTGACAGTAGTATAAAAATAACTTTCAAAATTAGAAAAATAACAAATAAATTTAACAGAGGTTGTTATTATTATCTATACCATATATAAATTATTTATTTACGAAACTACTATTTTCATGTATTATTGCAATCAGTAAATAATAATTGGTAATGTTGATACTTTCGTGTTTCGATCAAAGATTGTTCTGGTTATCTTTAATGAAGTCAAACTTTATTTCCAAATATGAGCAGTTTTGAAAATATTTCAATTCGATTTTAAAAATATTTTAATTTATTTATTACAATTATCAAGAATTTTTAGATAACACAAATTGAATACAGACATTTGTGTTAAGTTGCAAAAAGTACTTGTAGTTCAGCATTTTAAAGTGTCATAAAGATATTAACAGACCTGACTAATGACGACTAAACTAACACTTAGAAAACTAAAGAATTTCATACTAATTTTGACAAATTCTATTTTTAACTATTACTGGTATTAACTTTTAAATGCTGATTAATAACAAAATTAAAATTATTATTTATTTTTAATTAAAAAGCTTTTAAGTATGAAAAAGCAGTTTCAGTAAAATCATCTCTCATGATTTATTAATAAAATCGGACATAAATATCTGCTAGAGAAAAAAAATATTTTTTATGTTATAAATATATATTATATTCTATAATTTTCGCATTGATTACTGATTCTTTATTATATTCATAATTTTAAAATAAAATATATGGTTGGTATACATTCAGGTCTCAATATGATAAATTGACACATACCTGTATAAGTAGACACTTAGACAGGTATTATAGTTCCATTTTAAGATTGTGATTTATGTATATCTAGAAATTTTGTATGTACTTTTTACAGTTCTATACAATAGAAACCAAAATTACTGAAACAATATAATAAATTTAAGATAAGTTAATATCGTTTTCTTAATTAGAATGTACTATCTCTTCCACTCGGTACAATTATCCAACGTTCTGTTTGTTATTATAAAACTATGATTTTTATTTTATAGTACTCTATATATATTATCTAGTAAATTTTTATGCTTTTTGAGAATGTTTTACAAAAAATTTCCTATAACCCTTTTTGCTAAATTATTTTCCCCATTTTAAGTGGTTTAAGCTTATTTTTTCATTTCTTCTCCTTTTTCAATTTTTAATAGTATTTTGGGTGGCACCTTAAGCTATTCACATTCTTTTTTAAACCCAATTTTACGCGTATTTGCTGTTGGCTGTTACTTTCATTTTTTGGTAGTGTTAGCTGGCACTTTGAATTTATTTGTGTAATGTATTTATTTGAGCTAAGTTGAGCAATGAGTGCTTGAGTGTAATTTACTTCGATAAACACTGTTTCATTTTGAATATATCACTTGATTACTTAATAATAATATATAACATTTTTTTTCAATTATAATTCAATAAAACACTTGATTAGTTAACAAAATAATTAATTTCAATTAATTACTTGTTTAAAATTTTTTTTAATTATAAATTATTGAAACACGAATATTCAAAATTAGGTGTGTTCACTTTGTAATGAGAACATTTTCAATGTCTAGTTTAATTACTTTAGTAAGTGATGTTTAAAATTTTAAGTAGTTCTATAGAATGGGATTCAAAATATTTGCACTTATATAAAGACTAATAATAAATATGGGTTTAGAAATATACTGCTTCCGTAAAGTTGCTAAACCTATTACAGCTTTAGCATGACTTATATGTTATAGTAACTTTTTTCTTCATAATTTTTACCATTTTTGTACACAATGCTTATGATTTTAAAGATTGGAAACCAATATAAAAATTAACAATGACATATTTATAGTTATACGGACTTGTATATTGGTTGTCTGTGACATAGCCTGCGATGTTGGTCTAACATATATTTAGAGAATTTACAGAAAACAGAGCTGACAGCGATTTTTAAACGAATTTCCGACTATTTAGTGTAGTTGACCGAAAACACGAACTGTACATATACATGAACTGTCTGGAACCTCTACTAGGGTCGTTAGATAAACCGGTTTTTGAGCGATACCATTTGCGTTCTAACTCTAAAAATAATAGCTTTGTTAATCTTGTTAATCTGTGACATTCTTTTGGGAAATTGATGTATGCGGAGTCAGTTCTCATAAAAATAATATTAATTTCTAGCGAAAATAGTTATTAAATATCAATACTTGTACTTACTTCTATTATGAAATAAAGTTGTGCAATCGCAGGTGTACGAGAATGTTTATTACAGATATTTTATTTATACAATATAATTTTTTTTTGTTTTTCTTTAATATAAATGTATTTCAGATATTGAATAGAAGTTATTAATTTTTGTATTCTATCATTTATTGTTAAAAAGGCTTTTAAAAAGTTAAATATTTGAAATACACAAAAAAATTGTTTTGTTGTTAGTTTTTATATATTTTTTTTATATTTCTTTTATATTTTTTATTGTCTACTCAAATGTTGATTTATCTGTAGAGCTCGAATATAATACGAGTAATAATTTCGTATTATTTGCAGCAGAAAAATAAAGAAATAAAGAACTTTTAATAAAGTAAAATAATTTGTTAAGCAAACATATGTAATAATGACCGGAGGGCAGTATTACTTTTTGCCTAAAATTATTGTTTATACAATAATGAATTTATGCTTGAAAGCATGGTTTTCTTGTTAGAAGCATTGTTAAAAAAATGAAGTAATTTATTTTAAAATTACTCTGTATATATTGTTTTTTTAAATTATTCAAAACATTTGAACTTCACTTCACTTCACTATATTTTAATAAGTCACTATGATGTGCACTTTCAAACTACAAAAAAATCTACCTTCATAAATTTTTATCTATATTTTTGGTATTTTATTTAAAGCCACTTTAATAAAGAAGTTTACTTTTGAGTTTATAATATTTATAATTTAAAAGAAATGTGTGAGTTAGGTAAAAATTTTAACAACAAAAAATGTTTATGCATATCTTTGGTATCAGATCTAGTGTGAGATACTTCTTGTTTCTAGCAAAAATTGTGCCAAATGTGCGATTAAACTACAGTCGTTGACTACAGTAACTAGCTAATCTTTTTGTAATTCAATTTTATGGAACACTGTAGCCAGCGATTGCTGTGCGTATACCGAATATTCGGATATGAGCGAATATTTCGATCTATTCTACTAATAGAACATATTCTACTAATAGAGTAGGTTCTACTAATAGAATTGATTCTACTAATAGATTAGATTCTACTAATAGAATAGATTCTACTAATAAAATTGATTCTACTAATAGAATAGGTTATACTAATAGAATTGATTCTACTAATAGAATAGGTTCTACTAATAAAATAGATTCTACTAATAGAATAAATTCAATACGTATTACAGTAACGTATTTATTAGTGGTGTCCGTATACTGAATATTCGGATATGGACGAATAGTTCGATCTATTCTACTAATAGAATATATTCTACAAATAGAATATTTTATACTAATAGAATTGATTCTACTAATAGAATAGGTTCTACTAATAGAATAGATTCTACTAATAGAATTGATTCTACTAATAGAATAGATTCAATACGTATTACAGTAACGTGTGTTTATTAGTGGTGTTCGTATTCGAATAATGCGAATTTTTAGAATATACCGAATATTCGGATATGAGCGAATAGCTTCGTTCTACTTGAATGTTTACTTAATTTTACTATTGACATTTCTAGCGGCTATAGTCAACTACTGTAGTTGGTCACAAAGCGTCTCTAATTCAAATTTGGTTAATATATCTATGAATACTAAATTTTTTTTTATAAAATAATTTTTTTTATATTTTCATTTAACTATAATTAATATATTCTTTATGTTTTTTTTATTTTAGCATCACAATATGAACCCGGCGGTTACTCGTTGCAAGCACAAAACCGAAATTCGGCCAATATGACCCAACGGGATGGTATTATAAAATTTGAGAACGAACGCATCAAAACCCTCCAAGAAGAACGTTTACACATACAGAAGAAAACATTCACAAAATGGATGAATTCATTTTTAATAAAAGTAAGAATATATTTCTGCCTCATATAATACATTGATTTATTTACTCATATATTCTTTTTGTTATTACTGTTACTGTTTATTATTTCTAATATCTAATATCTGTTTATCTGTTTACTTGCAGGCCAAAATGGAGGTCGAAGACCTATTCACAGATTTAGCCGATGGTATTAAATTACTTAAATTACTTGAGATCATATCATCGGAGAAACTGGGAAAGCCAAATAACGGTCGAATGCGTGTTCATAAAATTGAAAATGTCAACAAGAGTCTGGCATTCTTGCACACCAAGGTAAGCCAGCTAAAGCCAGCTAGTCAGTCGAATGGAGTCGACTGAGCAAGTTGACGTTAACGTTGACGACTGTCAACTTGCGCTTCTCGAACATTGACTCAGTCAGTTACTTTAAGTTAAGATAAAATATTTGCGTTTCTTCAAGTCTTCAAGTGAGTAGCAGAGGTATTTGCTTGCGTCTTGCCTTATAGGGCGATAAAAGTATCTATCTATGCCCATACAAACATAGACAGAAATGCTGCTTAAAAGCTGCAGCTGGTGGTGCCTACCATTATTTTTATCTTTGAAAAAGTTTGAAATATTCGTAGTTGGTGCGATTGCGCAGCTGTGACTGCGTTTCATTGCGTATTTCCATTTTAGTGGCTTTACTCGGTGGTGCTTTAATGTTTATGTTCACATATTTAAATTTGAAAGTCACTCGTGAGTCGTTTGGAATTTTTGCGATTTTTTGTTTTGCTTATTTAATTTCTTATTTTATTTTTTCTTCTTCTCTTAACTTAATTACCCATATTGTATTTTTGATAATTTATCCAAAATATTTTAAACTTATTTATGTGCAGTTCATGTACAAACTTTCCAACTTACAGCAGAAGAAAAAATTATTTAACTTTCATTTTAGGCTTTTTGCTATCTAAAAAGTAGCTTTACATTTCTGTAAATTTATTTACCCGATGAGATACATAAGTAATATGCCAAGCCAAAGTTATTCGTTTTAATTTCATTCAAAAATGTAAATGACTACGTGCAATAAATTAATATTATTAAAACACTAAACATAAATTTATTGCAAGTGTGACTTTATATTCAGTAAAATCTTATATAAAATTAAAATATATTAAGGTATATATTAAAATTAATGGATCACTGATTTTAATTGAATTTAAGAATGTATTAAAAACCATGAAGAACAAAAATTCTCATGGTAGTCATGACTATATTCCCATTGCACAGACATAACTTCAGTCATATTGATGTTATGATTGTCCAAATCCTAAGAAACCAATTGATATTGTCAAATATCAGCACATACCTGCTGATACAGTCTGCTGAGAGTGTTAAGCCGTCTTTCGTCGTCTTAGTTAATGACGGTTTCCACAATGTATAGCCGGCCGTTTATATCAATCTTTACCTCTCACCCTTTGAAGTGGTTAGGTTACTTCGGCTTGAGCTAGTCTGGGCCAATTAAAATGCAATCATCCCTTATTTATTTCATTCCATATCCCAAACAATCTTCATTGTTAAATTTATTACTCGAAATTTATTATTCAAATTATAACAAAACTGAGTAATGGTATTAAAATATATATATAAACTTATTTATAAATTTTTGTTTTAAAGTTTCTTTCGATATGATAACTCTATACTTCCAAAAAATGTGCTAACGACATATTGCTATATATTATCTTTTTTACCGTCTGTCAAAGCAATCTCCAACCTAATACTTTGTTTTGCTCACCCTAACCTTACTAATCAGATTTTAACACCCACGTATACCTTTTTTTTTGTTAATGGCGAGATGGTAAAAGTTTTATACCATTCCCGTTAATGGTGTGCCTGACTTGTACTGTGTAGTATGTGGACTAAAACACCCCCTCTTCTACTTCGGGATTTCTATATAAATATCCAAGGGAAACAATAACAATACAATAACAACTGGTATTCTCCCTTTTGGAAGGGTTGTGTAGCACTTGTGTTAAAGTTTTGGGAAGTGGACCTGGAGAAAAAATGTGTCTGTAACTTTTTTAGATTTATTTTTTTAAGTTATACTTTAGTCTTTTGTTAAGCTTATATTAATGGTGTTTCGAGTGGTGAGTCGCCACTGATGTCCGGTTATTGTCGATAATGCTTGGGAATGTCGACGTTGTCACGGTAGTTACTGTTTTTACACGTTCAACAGCAGTTGATTCGTCTGCATGAGCGCGAAGAACGGGATAGATTTTAGTATCACTGTATTGAATGTATTTGCTAGTTGCAACAGAAATGATTAGTTTTATGGGCCCATGATGGTCACAGAGCTCTAGTTTTTAAGTTTAATTGGCGATTGGCGATTGGAGGTCTTGATTTCATTTAAGATTAATAATTAATGGTTTGACTTTTATCGATTGCCATCGGTAAATTTATTTGTGATAGACCAGAAATTTTACTGTCAGTATCTCAATAACAAGAAGATTTTTGAAAAATATTTTACTTATTTTTTAATTTGGTGCAACTGCTTTGAATTCCTTGTTTACTAGCATAGTAAGTCGAGTGAGTGTGCTTTCTACTTGTTGACTCCCCCGCCAGAACTCGCCAGTTTCCACATTCACTAACAAAAGTGCAGTAATATATTAGTGAATGCTTTGTTCACTTACTAAAAGTTATCTATCACATGCAATTCATTTGTAGTTAAACATTTTGCTGAAAGATTAATTAAATCCAAATGTGTGCGGCTTCACTTTTTATTCTGCAATTTTTACTATCTCAATCTCAATCGTAGTTGTCGGTTGTTGGTGGTTGGTTGTTATTGTGTTCGTGGTAAATAACTCTTAATTTACACTTTCAGTTGGCGTGTGACACAATTTTTCCTCCATTGCTTTTCTTTCTAACGGATTTATTTAATCTAATTAAAACAATAGTTTAATTCACATTAATTCACGTAATTTAAAATAAATGCATTTTTTCTTGGTAAGGGAATCGCGAATAGCGAATAGCGAAATAAATTCATGCCACAAAGTTAGTAAAAGACAGTGAAAGCTTCTCTTAATGGACTATTTCATTATTTCCCTAATATATTTTGGGTATTATTTACTGATATGTCAACAAATGTGAAATGCAAAATTCACATAAATTCTCAGGTATTCACTTACTTACTTACTTACTTACATACTTAGTAGTAAGCATATTGACAGCTGCAGTTATTTATTGGTAACGCCACTTGCATTCTTGCATTGCATTGCCGCCTCGCTATGAGACGTTGCTTTTAAGGTTTCCCGATGCAACATTCGCTGACTAAGTGTCAGTGAACTGCCTTAGGCATTTGAACCAATAAATTTGATAAAACTAACACAAATTGCAACTACATTTATACTTAATATACTTTTTTTTATATAATTAAGAATTTAGATATAATAGTTGTCTTTTACATACTTTCTAATTTATTTATATTTTTTATGAATTATAATCTCCAACTCAAAAACTGTGGCTGCTTGCAATAAGTACTGAAACTTAAAATAATTATAATTAAAAAAAACTATCTTATGTCTTGAATTAAAATATCTTATATCTAAAATAAAAATATCTTATATCTTAAAATTCTATCAAAAGACAATATTCATAAATTTTGACTCAAACAAAACAAGCCGCCGCTTTCCGTATTCATTTTCATATAAATACACATAACTCTCTTGTTTATTGGACCTGAAATCACCGCTGTTGTTATCTGTTATCATTGATCGACCTCTTGGCAGTCGTTTCAATCTTCTCTTAGCTCTCGTGTGGTTCTGATTTCATTGTGATTTGTAACAAAAACCTCGTTTTAAACGTTCTTTCTGCTGAGCCAATCATCTGTCGATCACTCAAGTTAATGTGCAGCATTTAAATGAACTGTGATTTTTTATCTGCTTTCTTATACTCGTAAATAAGTTCGCCTATCTTTATGTTTAAATATTATTAAATGTGTGTTTTGGTTTGTTCTTTTTATAATTATTAGTCGTAGTCGTTTCTACTGCTGTTATGCATAGAAATTATAATCAACTACACAGGTATTCTATAGTACGTGATTAGACTAGAGCTTATCTAAATGACTTCGTTAGGAATTTTTTCAATGCATTAATTTTTATTACCATAAATGTACCACGATAAACTATTAAATACAAAAAAAAGTAGTAAAAACAAAAAATAATGTTCTAAAATTACTCAATTTGAAAGAAATGAATGATAATCAAGTTGGATTGAATTCTATATTTTCTATTTCTATTATTGAATTCACATTAAAGCAATTAATTGATTAATTGATTAAATTTCTAATTAATTTTTGAAATTATATAAATTTTAAAATTAATTGACTAAAGAAATTAAGTCATGCACTGAAAATGTTCGCATTAGAAAGTGAACTTAGTAGTAAGTCTTATTCAATGGAATACACTTGAGAACTGTTATCATATCACAAAATTGTCGAATCATTTAAATAAAAATAAATACATCATATGAATTGCAGTATTAAAATGAATTCATATCAATCAAATATACATTGTATATAGGAAAAGCAAACAATTCAAACTGCTCAGTAACCATATGAATAAAATTTAATGAGAAAATAAAATAGAAGTGCCAGCTAAAACCACTAAAAAACTGGAAGTCATACAAAAGTGTTATTTAAAAGCACTAAATAGTTTCATAACAAATGTATATAGAAATTTAAAAAAAAAAGTACCGTATCATAGTTGATGTGACAAATGTTCACACTAAATGGAGTCTAAACATTCCTTTTGTCCATATTAAGAAGTACTATTTTGCACCTTCTTTAGACAAAAATGAGCTTAGTACCAGCTACTTTCCTGTCTCTATAGTTGTTGTTATTGTTGTTGTTACTTTAACACATGAAACCAAAACCATAAACAAGTTTACGAGAAAAAGAAGTTATAATATGGACACGTTTAGTAAGAAAAAAAATAGAAAGTGCAATTGTAAAAAAAATAATCACGCGAAAGGATGATTACAAAAGTTAGCCTGAATCCAGATGAAAAAATATTATATAATCGATAGGACATATACAGTTGAGTTTTAGAACAGATAAATGACGTGGAGTGGAGCACATATACGATTGGGACACATGTTAGGACACAGTTTATGAACAGACAGATGAAAGACAGAGTCAGAAATCAATTGGACTAAAGTTGAATGTATAGGTGAGTTCTTGATCATATTACTGCTGAGTTCTTGAGCAAACCTGCAATTGGGACACATATCAAAAGTAGACAGTTTATGCGTAACAAATAACTGGTTATATGCTAACCTAAATAAGGTTCTAATAACTCTTATTAAATAAGATGACTTCTTTCTGTGTTTCTTTCTTGAAAATGTTAAGTAGAGCGCGACTCTACTCTACGGTAGACTGTAGAATACAGTCCATACATTGATTCCGTCGAAGAACCCAGACAAACAGTGTTTGGATGAACACTTTAATTATGGTTTTGAATGTGCCCTGTAATTTAGCTTTTATTTCATATATTTTGAGTTTTGGAATATAGAAACTTATAAAGTGGCAATAGAGTGGTTACGGCATTTAAATAATATTATTTTTCGTCACCAACTGCTTTATACCCTGGTTCATTCCCGTGGTAATACACAAGCTGTTTCTTCAAAATAAGATCCATTCATAAAATTTTAGTACATTGATGTTGAAGAAGAAAGACTTAAATACCTATTATGCAACTATATGGTCTTCTATAAATTCGGATTTAAGCACATTTGAAGATCATTTTACATCTAACTTCACACTATTTTCAATTTTTGAAATCAAGACAACACCTGATTTCTTCAAATTAATTTTTCTTAAGACTTCGAACTTCTAGTCTTGCTTTTTGATTTATTGCCTTTTCAAATCATAGTTTCTTTTATATAAAAATATTTTTGCTCTTATACATTCAATAAAAATTTAAAAAGGATATCAAAATAAACCTTCTCCCTACGTTTATATCGTTCTTCATCTTTTATGTATTATCAAATAACAATCTTCTTTGATTTATTTTCAGGTTCGTTTAGAATCAATTGGTGCAGAAGACATTGTAGATGGAAATCCCCGCTTAATTTTGGGTCTTATTTGGACAATTATTTTACGGTTCCAAATTCAAGAGATTGAAATTGATGTGGTATATATCTAATATAAACATTGTACATATTGTACAAATTATACAAAATATATTTTTTTTCCTTAAGGACGAAGAAAATGAATCATCTGAAAAACGTTCCGCGAAAGATGCACTTTTATTGTGGTGTCAGCGTAAAACACATGGTTATCCAGGCGTTAACATACAAGACTTCACATCGTCATGGCGTTCTGGTTTAGGTTTCAATGCGCTCATTCATTCACATCGACCTGATTTGTTTGAATACAGCACAATTGTTAATTCGAAAAATTCCAACATTGATAATTTGAATCATGCCTTCGATGTTGCTGCCACGGAATTGGGTATACCAAGGTATGTTTTGCGTTTTGCGTTTTGCATATTCGTAAAATAATAAATTCATTTTCTTTATTTTGTTAATTTTGTTAATTTTCTTTTGCAGTTTACTTGATGCTGAAGATATTGACTCTGCACGTCCCGACGAAAAATCGATCCTGACCTATGTGGCGTCTTACTATCACACATTTGCACGCATGAAAAACGAACAGAAAAGTGGAAAACGTATCGCAAATGTGAGTATTAAAGCACGTAAAGGTAGCTTACCGAAAGGTGAAGCTTAACAGAAGAAAGTGTAGTAAGTGCTTATATGGCCGCAAAATGAAATACTTGTTTTGCCATGCTCTATCGTAGTACTAACAAACGTGTACGAATTATGCTACAAACAAAAGTCCAACCCAATATATGTCCAATAATAAATTTATGCACGCTCTATTTCATCTTGGGTGCAATAACTGCTGGCAGAAACCATGCACAAATTTATTTCCATTTCAAACTTTGTATATTGGATTTTGCTAATTCAAGAGAAAAAAAAAAGAAAAGAAAATGTTTCAACTATTATTTTACCTTGAACATTAACATGAATGCCCGCTTAATAATATTATTTCCTATTTGAATTTTATTAATAGATTGTAGGGCAACTTATGGATGCCGATCGTAAAAAAATTCATTACGAACGCTTGACCACAAATCTACTCAGCTGGATCAGACAAAAAACAATTGAACTTCAAAAACGTGATTTTCCTAACTCATTGGAAGGTATACAAAGAGAGCTCTTGGCTTTTAAGGAGTATCGTACCATTGAGAAACCACCAAAGTATATTATTAGCCAAAACTATTATAGAAATAAATATTAACATGTTTCTGTTTACAGGTATAAGGAGCGTAGTGAAATAGAAGCATTGTATTTCACTATAAACACACTACTCAAGGCGCTAAATCAACCTCCCTACAATCCACAGGATGGTCAGTTAGTAAATGATATCGAAAAAGCTTGGCAATTACTGGAGTATGCAGAACACAATCGCGAGGTAGCATTGCGTGAAGAGCTTTTGCGTCAGGAAAAACTTGAGCAATTGAATTACAAATTTGAAAAGAAGTCTGTGCTCCGTGAGGGTTACTTAAAAGAAATGATACAAGTCTTGTCTGATCCACGTTATTTACGTCAAGTGGATGCCACTTTAAAGAAGCACGAAGCGATATCAGCAGATATATTAGCACGCGTTGAGCGTTTTAATGATTTGACGTCAATGGCGAACGAGTTGGAGCGGGAGAACTACCACGGCAAGGACCGTGTGAAGAAACGCGAGGCTGAAGTAATGGAAAAATGGCGAAAACTTTTAGAGTTATTAGAGAGTCAACGTTTAAATCTATCACAAATGAGTAATCTAATGAATTTATTACGAGAAATCGCTAGCACAACAGAATCCGTAAAAGAACTACAAGTGCAGTTCGCATCAGAGGATGTAGGACCACACTTGTTGGGCGTTGAGGAACTGTTGCAAGCACATTCACTACAAGAACTACAAGTAAACACCTACGGTGAAACTATTAAACGTTTTAATCGTCTAGCGCAACCATATAAAAACTCTGAACAAAAAGATGCTATTTTATTAGTGCAACGCTTAGATGATCTTGAAGAAGCCTATGCAATGTAAATAAACTTAACTTTTGTCCATACAAATTTAATATTATTATTGTTTTTATTGCAGATTATTGCAACTCTGTGCCAAACGACGTGCTTGTCTTGAAGAAGCAAGGAACTTCCATCACTTCATGGAAGATTACGACAATGAAGAAGGCTGGTTAGTGGATAAACAACGAATTTGCAAAACTGGTATTACAGCGAAGGATCTGCGTGCAGTGCTTTCTTTACAACAAAAACACAAAGCACTTGAAGATGAAATAAAAGTGCGTAAACCAAAATCAACACAAATGTCTGATGCTGGAAAAAAATTGATTGGCGAAAAACATCCTCGTTCAACAGAAATTAAGAGTCGTATAGATTCACTAGCTGAACATTGGAAAGCTCTCGAAGATCTAGTTGAACTTCGTCGCCGTCAGTTAGAAGATGCTGCCGAAGCATATCAATTTTATACTGACGCCAATGAAGCTGAATCATGGCTTAATGAGAAAATGGCTTTGGTGAATTCTAAGGATTATGGCAATGATGAACCTTCAGCACAAGCCTTATTACAAAGACACCGTGACTTACAAGGCGAATTGAATGCTTATTCCGGCGACATACTTAATCTGAATCAACAGGCCGATAAACTTATAAAAGCAGGCATTTGTACACTAGAAGTAAGTAACTAAAACAAATATTAAGTATTTTTAGTTAAATATTTGTTATTTTACTGTAACATTGGAAATACAACCCATTTCAGTTCCTTGTATTTATTATTAATTAAATTGTATTTTTTACTTACAACTTTTAGTTGACCGCTAATGAACCAGAACTGCCGGAAGTTGAGCAAGAGGAATGGGTTAACGAAACTCGACTTGTGCCAAAGGAAGTGTGGGAAGATGAATGGGTTGAAAAACTTGAACATAAGAAGGTTACTGAAACAAAGATGCTTCCACATGTTAGAGCCATGTTTCCATTTGAAGGTCAGGGTATGAAAATGGATAAAGGTGAAGTCATGTTACTTAAATCGAAAACAAACGATGATTGGTGGTGTGTACGCAAGGAGAATGGACTTGAAGGATTTGTGCCTGCAAATTATGTGCGCGAAATTGAAGCACGTCCAGTAACATGCATTGTACCTAAAGCTGAAAAAGTTAAAAGCTTACAAAAGGTTAAGAAAACAATATTAGTACGTCAAGTGGTGCCTGTGAAACGTATCAAACCAGTCACTGCTGCTCCTAAACCGCTTATAAAACGTCGTACATCTACTAACAGTATAAATGATAATAACGACAGTGTGGAAAAACGTCAGAAACGTATAAATACAACTTATGATGAATTACAAGAAATGGCACAGAAACGACATGCACTTCTTGAAGACTCCATACATCTTTTCGGATTTTATCGTGAATGTGATGATTTCGAGAAATGGATGAAGGAGAAAGAACGCATTATCAAATCTGATGATGGCGATGGCGTAGAAAATGTTAAACGAAAGTTTGAAAAATTCTTAACAGATCTCTCAGCTGCTTCCAAACGTATCGAAGAAATTGATGGTGCAGTAGATACGTTCCGTCGTCAAGGACATTCACAATTAGATAAGATCATAGCCCGTCAGCGACAAATACATCAAATCTGGCAACGTCTTAATAATGCTAAAGCACAACGTGAAAAGAGTTTGGAAGGAGCTTCAAGTGTTGAACTTTTCAATCGCACTTGTGATGAAGCGAAAGTATGGATGAACGAAAAAATGTTGCAATTGGATACTGCGGTTATAACACCGGATTTGAGAACTGTGCAAGCTTTACAGCGTCGCCATCAAAACTTAGAGCGAGAATTAGCACCTGTGGAGGAGAAAGTCAATCGTGTGAATTATTTGGGAAATTCGTAAGTAGTGTCTATAACTATTATAGGTGCTAATTTTAATTGCTATTTTACTACTTCATTTTATTATAGTGTAAAGAATGCGTATCCTGCAGAGCGCGATAATGTTACTGCTCGTCAGAAGGATGTACAGGATATGTGGAAGCAAGTTCATGCCAAAGGAAATGAATTACGAAATCGTATCGAAAGCGCTGTTGGTCAGCAAATATTTAATAACAGGTTTGCACTACTACAATAATAAACTTAACATATTTTAATAATTGTTTTTGTTTTTTTGTAGTGCAAAAACGTTACTTGCTTGGATAGATTCAGTGAAAGATCAACTTAATGCCGATGAACCAGCGCGTGATGTTGAGACAGCCAATAATCTACTGAAGAAACATAATGATTTGGGTGATGACATCAAAGCACACGATAATGAGTTCGTTGAAGTTATCAATTTGGGCAAGCAGCTATCGGACGGCAAGCCAAATATGGAAGAAACTGTCAAGATAATCGAACGCCTTAGAGCTGAACAGGATGCAATTCATCGTGGTTGGGTAGAAAAACAAAAATGGTTGCAGCAATGCGTAGAATTGCAAATATTTAATCGCGAAGCAGATAAAATAGATGCAACCACTAAAAGTCACGAGGCTTTCTTGGAGTATAATAATTTAGGCGTAAGTAATTCAAATGATGTCCAATGTCTGATGAAAATTTTTAAAACAATATTCTTGCTTACAGAATTCCCTAGACGAAGTAGAGGCTATATTGAAACGTCACATTGATTTTGAAAAAAGTTTAATGGCACAAGATAAGATACTTAAAGGTTTCTCTGATAATGCAGATAAACTAATCGCCAACGATCATTATGATGCAAAATAGTACGTGAATTTTTTGAATTACTTATATATTCATGCACTAATTTTTTTTTTTTGTTTTTAATATTTTAGCATTGAAGATAGACGCAATCAAGTTTTGGGTAAACGTAAAGCTGTTAAAGATCGTGCATTCGAACGTAAACGTGCATTGCAAGCTTCAAAAGATTTCCATAAATTTGCTGCAGAAGCTGATGATCTTTCAGTTTGGTTAAATGATAAAATGAAAATTGCAGGCGATGAAAATTACCGTGACTTGTCAAATTTGCCCAGAAAATTACAGAAACATAAGGCCTTTGAGCGAGAATTGCGCGCAAATGAGGGTCAACTTAGAAATATTAATAAGGATGGTGAAGCATTGATTGCAACTAAAAATCGTGTACCAGAAGTAGAACTGAAAGTAGCTACTTTAAATAAGAACTGGAAAGATTTGCTGATACTATCAGAGGATAAAGGTCGTAAATTGGAACAAGCGGCATTACAACGTGAACATAATCGTGCCATTGAGGACGCCAAGAAGAAAGTTGATGAACTTAATGCAGCTCTCAAAAGCAAAGATGTCGGCAATGATTTACGTAGTTGTAAGGATTTAATAAACAAACATCAATTATTGGAATCGGAAGTTACTATCTGGGAACAAAAGATTGCAGAACTTGTCAACTCGGGCGAAGAAATGGCACACGAGGGCCACTTCAATGCTGCCAACATTAAAGATGAAACAAAAGATGTACAAAATGAATTCAAGTTATTGCGTGATCCAATGGCCAAACGTCGAGAAGAGCTAGAAGAAAGCTTAAATTACCATAAATTCGTGTTTGAATTAGATGCAGAATTCCAATGGATTAATGATCATATGCCAGCCGCTAAATCAAAAGAACTGGGACAAAACTTACATCAAGCGCAAACTTTATCAAAGAAACACAAGAAGTTGGAGGCAGAAATTAAAGGTCATCAACTAATGATTAATAAAGCCTTACAATCCGGTCAGATACTTGTATCACAGAATCACCCAGAAAAAGATAATGTTGAGAAATTATGCGAAAAACTAGAAGATGCTTGGGCAGATTTAAATAATTACACTAATGATCGTTCCAAGAAATTAGAAATGTCTTTGAAAGCTCAACAATATCTATCAGATGCTGGAGAAATCGAATCATGGTTGAATGAACGCAGCAATGTTTTGCGTTCAACAGAATATGGACGAGATCGCGATTCTGCTGCAAAATTGTTGACAAAACATAAAACAATTGAACTTGAATTAGATACTTATTCAGCCATTGTAACTGAAATGGGTCATAACTGTGCCTCAATGGTTGCTGCAGGTCATCCGGATAGCAAGATACTCACTGCCAAACAACAACTAATCGAAAAAATGTTGAAATCATTGCATAAACTTGCATCACAACGTCAATTGCGTCTTATGGAAAGTCTTTACATGCATGAATACTTCTTGGAGTCCGATGAGGTGGAACAATGGATCAAGGAACAGGAACAAGCGGCATCCTCTGAAGATTATGGTCAAGATTATGAACACTTGCAACTTCTACAAAACAAATTCGACGATTTAAAACATCGTGTTGAAGTTGGGTCGGATCGTGTGAACCAATGTGAGGTTTTGGCCAAAAAGTTAATCGATTCTGAAAGTCCTTACGCAGCTGATGTGGAAAAGAGACAAGAACAATTGAGGTAAGTTTCAGTCATGGCAAAAAACTTTGTTTTAATTTAGTTTATAATGATTATTTTTCGATTCCATGTATCGTATGATTAGTTTATAAAATATAAAATAATATATTTTTTTCATACTTTAAGATTATCTTGGGACAATTTGCTTAAATTACTTAATCAACGTGAGCAAAAATTACTTGCTGCTGGTGAAATACATCGCTTCCACCGAGACGTTGCCGAAGCACTTTTCCGCATACAGGACAAAAATGCAGCGCTTTCATCAGAACTAGGCAAAGATTTGAATTCTGCATTAGCTTTGCTAAGAAAGCACGAAGGCTTTGAAAATGATTTAGTGGCTTTAGAAGCACAACTGCAGGTTTTGGTTGAAGATTCGGTAAGGTTGCAAGCAAAATATCCTTCAAATGCAACTGCCATTGCACAACAACAAGACAAAGTTGTAGCTGCTTGGAATGACTTAAAGGAAAAATCTGGCGCACGTAGCGATCGTTTGGCTGCTAGCTCAGATCTGCAATCATTCCTCACTGATGTGCGCGATATTATGTCATGGTCATCTAATTTGCGTGCCGCTTTACAAGCAGAAGAACATGTCAGTGATGCAGCAGGTGCAACTGCGCTTAAAATTCAACACGATGCTATCTACGGTGAAATTGAAGCCCGTGAAGATAAATTCCGATATCTAAATGAGCTAAGTGACTCTATGGTGCAAACAGGGCATTATGCTGCAGCTGAAGTAGAAGAAAAATGTACGGCTATGTTAGATGAACGCCAGAAACTGCATACGGCTTGGAACAAAAAGAAAATTATGTTAGAACAAAAAATTGATCTTTTCTGTTTCTTACGTGATGCTAAGCAAATTGACAACTTGTCCAGTTCTCAACAGGCTGCTTTGACAAGCTCAGACTTTGGACACACGGTTGAAGATGTACAAAATCAAATCAAAAAACATGACGAATTCGAACGGCTGATACAAACACAAGAAGAGAAGGTAGCTTTGTTACAAGAACACGGACGTAAACTTGTAGAACAACGTCACTATGACAGTGCTAATATTCAGAATATACTACAAGATGTGCTTGCTCGTAGACAAAAGGTAAAAGATCTCTGTGCTGTGCGTCGTTATAAGCTGGAAGACGCATTATTGTACGCACAGTTTGTACGTGATTGCGCTGAAGCTGAGTCTTGGATTAACGAGAAGAAAAAGAAACTGGAAGCTGATGCTGCTAGTTACTCTGAAGTGACTAACTTGGATGAGAAAATCAAAAAATTGCAAAAACATCAAGCTTTCCAAGCTGAAGTTGCTGCTAACCAAGGTCGCATCAAGGAGATACAAGAAACCGGTCTTATTTTGCTGACAAAACAACATGAGTCTTCACCCGAAATTAAAATAGCTATAGAGCGGGTGGTATCGGCATGGAAGAGTTTATTGAATGAGCTAGATAACCGTGGGCGCGGTCTTGAGGAAGCGCAAGATATTCTCGAGTTCAATAACCAATTGGATAAGATTGAAGCCTGGATACGTGACAAAGAAATGATGATTCAAGCTAGCGACACTGGCCGCGATTTAGAACATTGTAATGCACTTATAAGAAAACTGGATGACGTGGATTCTGATATGCGTGTTGATGATCAGAGAGTTAAACACATCAACAGTCTGGCAGATAAGCTTATACATCAAGGCGAAGTGCCCGCAGAAACTAAAAATATTGACAAACGTCGTCGTGATTTTAACAGCAGATGGCGTCAGTTACAGGGTGCACTAGGCGCATATAGAGCTTTACTGAGTGGTGCAAACGAAATACATGTGTTTAACCGCGATGTAGATGATACTGCTGATCGCATTGCTGAAAAGGCACTAGCGATGAGCTCGGAAGATATTGGTCGTGATTTAGCTGCAGTAGAAACACTTATACGGCGTGAAGATGCACTCGAACGTGATATGTCGGCAGTTAAGCAAAAAATAGCTGAACACGAAAATGATGCACTTAAACTGCAACAAAAATATCCTGAACGTGCAAAGGACATTGAGCGTAAACTCGATGAATTGAGTGTTTCATGGCAAAACTTAGCGGACCTTTCAGTTAAACGGCGTGCAATACTTAATGAAGCTTACTTAGTGCATAAATTTGTGTCTGATGTTAAAGAGCTGGAGTTATGGGTGAATGATATGATTAAGAAAATGAATTCGGCGCAGACACCGATGACTATAACCGATTGCGAGACCCAATTGGAATTACATCAGGAGCGTAAAGTAGAAATCGATGGTCGTGATAGAGCTTTTAAAGAGCTAAAGGCGCATGGTGAAACGATTTCCAGCAAAAATAAGCCAGCTAATGTGAAGCAGTACTTAATTATTCTAGAAGATCTACATAGAACATTACATGAGGCTTGGAATGAACGTGCAAAGGATCTTACCGAAGCCCATCAATTACATTTATTCAAAACACAAGTAGAACAAGTAGAAATTTGGCTTGCAAATAAAGAAGCTTTTCTCAACAATGACGATTTGGGCGATTCCTATACTGCAGTAGAACGTTTAATCAAAAAACATGATGCATTTGAAAAGCTTTTGAGTTCCGATAATGTCGATGAGCTTCAAAAGTTTGCTAAGAGCATACTAGAAGGGGAACCAAAAGATGCTGATATTGTAGAGGAAAAACTAGCTTACATTTTAAAACGAAAGGCCAAATTGAATGCACTTGCACAGGAACGTAAACAGAAATTATTGCAATCATTGCAATTGCAGGAGTTCTTACGCAGTCTCTATGAAATAGATCGGTGGTTGGTACAGAAAATGCAAGTTGCTCTAGATGAAAACTATCGTGAACCAAATAATTTGCAGAGCAAAATACAAAAACATACTGCATTTGATAGCGAGCTTTTGACCAATGCTTCTCGTGTTAAAGATGTTATAAGTGAAGGGGAACGCCTTATAAAGGGTGAACATTATGCAAAGGCTGAAATTGTTCAACATCTGGAGATACTTGAAAATGATTGGAATAAACTAAAAGCGGCTTCACAAGAAAAGAAAGAGAAACTTAATCAAGCTCATGAAGCACTAACATTCAATCGTAACCTGGATGAGTTTAGTAATTGGATGGACGAAGTAGAATCACATCTATCTAGTGAAGATTACGGTAAAGATTTAGCAGCTGTCAGCAATTTAATTAAGAAACACGAACGTCTTGAAGCCGATGTGTCACATCATAGCGATTTAGCAGATCAGATTAAAGTAAACGATGAGAAATTCTTCAAGGCAGATCATTTTCTTAAGGATGAAATACATGAAAGAGCTATCAACACAATTAAACGTTATCACACACTTCATGAACCTATTGGTATACGCCGAGAAAATCTCGAAGATTCTTTAAGCTTACAACAATTTTTGCGCGACGCAGAAGATGAATTACAATGGCTAACAGAAAAAGAAGTTATAGCTGGTTCACAAGATCTAGGCAGTAGCTTGATTGCTGTACAGGTACTACAAAAGAAACATCATGGACTTGAGGCAGAAATATTGTCCCAAGAACCACTTATACAAGCACTTTTACAACGTGGACAACAAATGATACGTGACAATCACTTTGCAAGCGAAGAAGTGCAATATAAATGCGATTTGTTGCAAAAGAAGTTGATTAATCTGAGGGATTTATCCAGTATACGTCGTTTGCGACTTTTGGATGCCGTCGAAAGTCAAATGTTTTATGTGGAAGCAAATGAAGCTGAAGCATGGATGCGTGAGAAACGTCCAATACTGGCATCAAGTGACTATGGACGAGATGAAAGTTCCGTACAATCTCATCAGAAGAAACTCGAAGTATTACAACGTGAATTAGTATCATTCAAAGCATCTATAGAGAAAGTCAACAAACTTGCCACAAGTCTCATTGAACGAAATCATTTCGACAGTGAAAACATAAACACAAAGAACACATCAGTCAACCAACAATACAGCGAATTACTGAGACTTGCGAAAGATCGTGATATAAGACTCGGCGAATGTAAGAAACTGTACGAATACCTGCGCGAAGCTGAAGACTTACATGAATGGATTGGCGACCAAATGACCGTTACTGCTTCTGAAGACTATGGAGAAGATGTGGAACATGTTGAACAATTGATACTTGCTTTTGAATCCTTTGTTTCCAATCTTACTGCAAATGAATCACGCGTTCAAGCTTGTCTCCAGCATGGCGATGAACTAATAAAGGAAAATAATCCATATCGTTCATCAATCAAAACTAAACGTGATGAAACCAAACAGCTTTGGGAGGAATTGAAAGATTTAGTAAACGCACGTCAGGAAGCTTTGGCAGGTGCAAAACAAGTACATGTCTATGATCGTATAGCTGACGAGACTATATCACTTATTAACGAGAAGGAATCATCACTTATATCAGAAGATTATGGACAAGATTTGGAGAGCATACAAGCACTAAGTCGTAAGCACTTAGTATTCGAATCAGAGCTTGTAGCTATTAAAGAACAAGTAGATTCTGTACTAGCAGAGGCTAAGAAATTGGGTGAAATATTCCCTGATGCCAAGGAACACATTGAAGTGAAACGTGATGAAACAGTCGAGGCATGGGCGGATCTAAAAGAAAAGACAAACGTTCGTAAAGGAAAATTGTCACAAGCAGAGCAGCTACAGTCTTACTTCGATGAATATCGTGATTTAATCGCTTGGATAAATGAGATGCTTGCCAAAATAACTGCACCAGAACTTGCAACAACTGTTGCCGGTGCTGAGTCACTGTTGGCTAGTATTAAAGAACATCATGCCGAAATTCATGCACGCGACGAAACTTTTGCAAACTTCACCGCTAATGGTCAGAAACTTATTAAAGAGAAACACTTTTTGGCACATGAAGTTGAAGATAAAATACAAGTTTTAAAACAACGTCACGATTTACTGCTGCATACACTGCAACAACGTAAAGAAATCTATGAACTTAACTTGGATACACAATTGTTCCTTAAAGATGCAGAAATACTAGAAAATTGGATAATTAGCCGCGAGCCATTGCTTAAAGATGCAAAATTGGGTGATTCCATACCACAAGTAGAAGATTTGATACGTCGCCATCAGGACTTCGAGAAGACAGTTGCTGCACAAGAAGAAAAGTTCCAAGCTATTAAGCGCATTACTTTATTGGAACAACGTTTCCGCAAGCAGGTTGAAAGTGAAAAATTGGCTAAACTCAAAGAAAAAGAGCGTTTAGAAAAGGAAAGACTTGAACAGTTGAAACAGAAAGAGCTGCAAAGATTGAATGATGAAAGAAGACGAGCTGAAAAACAAATGGAACATCGAAACAATGTAGCAGCTCAAGAGAAGACGCCAATATTCTCATCGCCAATGGTTGTTGTGAACTCTAATAACACACCTCAGTCTCCACCAGTAACATCAAATGCACGTGCACCATTTGAAGAAGATCATTATTCATTACAAAAAAGTAATTCCAGTAATATATTCGGCGACCGATTACGACGTGGATCCGATACTGTTAAACGTGCGGAAAGTATGAAGGTACAACAAAAACAACCAAAACGTACACCTTCCTTTACAACTAGACGCCGTGCCCAGTCTTTCCGTAAAAATCAAAAGGGTGAAGGATTTGATTTGCCACCAGTTGAGATTCAAGGTATGCTAGAACGAAAACACGGTCTGCAATCAGGTGGCAAAAAGGCACCCGTACGTTCCTGGAAACAATTCCATACAGTACTTTGCGGACAGTTGTTATGTTTCTTTAAGGATGAAAATGATTTCTTGCAACAGAAGACAGCCACTGCACCAGTAAATATTTTGGGTGCAAAATGTGAACGCGCGGATGACTACACCAAGAAGAAATACGTATTCCGATTAAAATTACCTGATGGCTCAGAGTTTTTATTTGAAGCACCTTCCCTTGACATAATGAATGATTGGGTACGCAAGATATCATTCCATGCTAGTCTGCCACCGAACCTACAATTATTAAGCTACGATGAATCAGTAAAGGTACTATAATCATTTGTATAATTATTTTGGGATGCTTATTTTTATAAATTTATTTCTTTGATTTACATAGCAACAATCAAATAGTGTGCCAGACATTAAAGTGGTTAGCCACCAACTTGAATCACCAAATAGTTCTCGTAATTCTTCACCAGATTCACAGAGACGCGCCGTTTCTAGAAATGATTCCGTAAATAGTGGTGTTTCTGCTAGCTCAGCAACACCCCAAATGAATTTCTTACAAAAACAGATGCAACAACAACAACATAGTGTAAGTTTATTATTTGTATATTAAAATGATTAAATTTAATTATATTTTTAATTTGAAATGCAGCAATCAACGTCGCCTACATCGCCAACAAGTCCTTATGGTTTTGAACAAAAACCACCCATACCACCTAGAGGTGCGCCACCACCAGTGCCAAACAGACAAAGTACAGATAACTTAGTTGTGTTAAGGAATCGTAATAACTCAAATAGCGGTAAGTTTACTGTACACTTAAAGAAATAATAGCAGCTCAATGCATATCATCTACTTAATATGCATTGACTTAATATAGATTTTATTGTTAGACAGACCATTTATTCAAAAGGGGTCTGTCTAAGAAGATAGAACGCTAAGGCAGATCGGACCACTACTCACATTCTTTGTAACTGTTCGGTTTTGATTGGATCAAAAATGATTTACTCAGCTGTGTGCTCCTTTTTCTGTCTGATATTTCTAAAAACGACCGAGTTTACCTACAGAAGCCACTCATCGAGTTCGACAAATCTCTGTTGGGTCGTTCATCACACCCAAAAGGGATTACACAGATAAATTCCTATGGGTTACACCAACATTCTGATCTTATATTAAATAATCTTCAACAGACACCATAACAGGCTTCATTCAAAGAGCTAAATGTCTTCTGTGCAGTTAGGGTTAGGCGTGTAGCACAAAAGATCTGCAATATCCAGTTTATTTTTATTCCATTCTATATATCTTCAAGGAGCTTTGTTTCATCTACTTCTGTGCTGATTTTCAATCAACTTAATTTTTATCTTTCAACTCAAATTGATTTGAATCAATGAGTTATTGTATTCAAGGTGCTTTTAATTTGAATTTTAGTCCAATCCGTATTTAACCCTGCACTTCTGTCAGGCGAGTCTTCACTTTGTAGTTTTTTAAGAATAGTTGCATATATTGAAATAAGATATTGATTTGTTTTTATTAATTTTTTCTAATAACTTTAATATTAATAAAGTAAAAAGTTTTTACTTCGTCCTACTTCGATGAGATATAATCTCAACATCCTCAACTTAACTGAAGTCAAATCATAAAAATTTATATTATATTATTCTGATGCAGTTATTGTGACAAGCGCATCTCATTTATCCAAGCGATTAAATCACGATTTTCTTGCAGATGTTTCAGATATGAACAGCAATTTTGGTGGTAGTATGTCACGTTTACAATCCTCCACATTACCCGCTGGCATTTCGGGCATACAAAATGGTTCAAATGATGACAGTGTCATTGTAATAAAACGCCACAGTGAGAATAGACAATCAGGTATGTAAAGTTATAACTCCAAACTTTAGAAAAGCATATTAACTCAGGTTCCATTAAAAACTGTTACGTATCTATTAAATATTAGTAAAACTTATTATGTTGTCCAATTTACAATTACATTCAATATTTATTCAAACAAAAACTCATTCATATACATTTTTGTATAAAATATATATATAAAAAAAATATTAGAAAATCCTCCGCCATTACCTACAACAATGCCTCCAAGAGGTGCTGGTCATCATACACAAATTCAACAACGCATAAATGCATATAATGCTGCTGCAGCAGCCACACCACCACAAAATAACAATCAGGATTATCATGGTAACTACGTGAGAATGCATCAAAATCAACTGCATCAACACCAACATCAACATCAGCATCAGCAGCATCAATTGCATCATTCACCGCCATCCCATATAGTGACGGCAACACCACGTACAAGTGTCGGTGGTCGTATGGATACAGTACGTAAATTTATAGAAGTTGAATCCAGCGGTATTGGCAGTATGCCTATGGAACATCAGCCAACACATGGCAGTGGCATGAACAAGAGAATCGTTCACAGTACTATGTCAACAAGTTCTAACTCGAGTATCGGCAGTAATAGCAACAACAACAATAACAATGGTAAACAAACCACACATAACATATTTAATGCGAGTACAACAACTATTACGACAACAACAACGACTACAAATAGTCGAACAGTTTGGCATTTCACCACCGATAATAACTCCATAAATAATCCAAGTTACATGGGTCTCAATAATAACGATGGAACTGGTTAGCAACAAATACATAAAACTTTCTCTCATACAAGCATTCATAAATACATTTGTTATTAAGAATTAATTGTGGTGGTTATTGGTTTATTTTATTAATAAGTAATATTTTTAAAATAAAAACTTAACTTAAGTGATATTTTTAAAATTAACACTAATGAAAATTATAATTACAAGCTGAATTTCCTTTTGCATATGGTTGGAACATTAAAAATCATCTATAAGATTGACTTTTATAAAGGAAGTGCAATACCTCATTTCTAAAACGCAGTTTTCTAGTCCAATCTAATTATTCTGAAATACATAAGACTTATTCAGAATCTCCAGTAATTCGGTAATCGACATAGTAACACTGTGAAGTGATAATTTAAAATTATTCTGTAATACATAAGGGCATATTCACAATCCAGTATAACGAACTCGTTGTTTCGGTAATTGAGGAACAATGTAACCCCACAAAGTACCAACAAGAAAATATATATACTCCAAATGTATTTCTTTGTTGCAGCTTTGCACTGTTACTCGACTACTGATCTCGTTACAGTAGATCGTGAACATATTCCTGTTAATTAATTGTTATGAAATCTCGCAATCTGCTGGCAAATATAAAGTAATAAGATAACTTATTGCAGCCTATATTGCGCACACAGCTAAACAAGATACATTGGTATAACATCCAATCATTTCAAAACTCTTCGTGAGAGCTGCGTATTTCAACTAGTTTCTATCGCATATTGTTCACTTTTATATAAAGCCCAGAATCCTTCTGGTAGAAAACTACAATCAGCACAATCCCCCTCACGTGCATTATGGGTAGACATCCCAATGACACCACTGTCGGTCTCTTCCCGCCACGTTGCATCGGTCGAACATTACTTTTGTATTCATACCTGTTAAGTATCTTTTTCGAGTCGACGTTTACAATAAAGTTCTTAACAGGTTTCCGCGTAAAAACTTTTGGTTGAAAGACGTCTTCCATCGCTCAAAAATACCTGTCGTTGCTCAATTGAAGACAGGTTTCCTTCAAAATGCAGCAGTCTTCCAAATAGTTACACATGGACATGCCTATATATATATTCTAACTTAAGTCGTCCATTTGCATATCCCAACGCACCCAAATTTCAACGCTATTAAATTCTGGGTGCGTCTAATTGAAGTAGCACTTCGACCCAGGCTAGTTTCAATGAGGACTCTTCCCACACCCAAAACCTTCTACCCAATAACACATACTTCCCCTCTATCGCTTATATTCATATTGCAATTCATTTATGTTGCTCATTACACAGCTTTCCTTGTGTTACAACAACATCAACATTATTTGTTAAAGTATTTTTAGTTCCAGAAACGATTAAGATCAGTATTCCAATCTGAATATTACCGTACACTTGCCGTCTAGCCGTACATTTGGACGTCTTGCGTAATTCTTACCATTTTTAAACTGTGACAGCATTTTAGAATTGATCATGGATCAAATAAGACTAATCTGCGAATACAAAAAGCGGGAAGAAATCGTTGTGCTATATTTAGACCCCAGTTTATTTAAAATTTTATGTTAACGACAATTAATAATTTAATAAACTATCTTTTTATTTAATCTTCTATCGTTCAAAGAATGATTCATACTGCACTTATTCCACCATTGCAAAGGTAGACTGTAATTAAGCTTGGTGTTAAGGGCTTTATTTTAAGTTTAATGTTTAATTTTTATATTATATTAGCATGTAATAATTATGTGATTTGTATATATGTCTATTGCCTCCTTCCTGCATGTCTTTCCAATCGGAAAAGGACCATATTTAAAATCTGTTAAACTAAGCCGTTCTTATCTACGCACCAGTTTGCAAAGTAATTATGGTGTTAATGAATTTATGAGCATTTTGATAAACTATATTGCCTGGTTATTGTCTTAAAAATATTAACTATTTCTTTTTTATGATTTATGTATATCCTTAATTACTTACTGCATGATTTCCCTTAACTTATCTATAAAAAAAATTAACTAATTTTATTATTTTACTTTTCTTAGGCTGGGGCACAACTCGTTTCGAAAGTAATCGGCCAGTATCATTGCAACCCGATGCAGTAAATATATCTCGTGTCTCCGCGGAAAGCTCAAGCGAGAGTGAAGCTCAATCAATATCTTCATTATCCGGCGTTAAAGGCAGTAAAAACAAGGAGGAACGTAGAAGTGGGATGTTCAGAATATTTGGTCGTAAAGGTGATAAGGAAAAGGACAAACGTAGATCATCCAGTCAGATGCCACAATAAAATCACTTAAAAAAGTTTGGAATTAAAATTTGCTAAAACTTCTTTCAAGGAAAAACATTGTCTTAAATATATGTATTTAATTTGGAATGCTGAAAAGAAATGAGAGAACTTTTGTTTTAGCCACCACTTCGTTATTATTTTTTAAATTAACCATCAAAGTTATTAAGTCAACATTTATATATATATATTTTATAATGCTATATGGTAAAAACATAAAAAATAAAATAAAATAAAAAAATTTTAGTAACTAAATTAAGTTTAAATAAAGAGTAAAACCAATAAAATTAATTTGTTAAATACCTAGTTTTTTTTCTTATATGAACATATAATAAAATGAACTTTTAATTTTATTTTATATTATTGCAAGTTATATTATACATATACAAATTTATATATATTTGATATATAAATTTATTTAATATCGATTATTTATGTTTGCGTTTGATATCACAAAATGAATGTTAAAAAATTATTAAATAAATATTTTTTAATTAATGTTAAAGATGTGTTTTTAATAAATATAAATTATTATATAGTAGAACCTCGTATCGAAATCTAGAAGAAAAGCAGAAACATTCGAATGATAGAAATTTTAATATATCGAGTTTTCGAATTATGGAGCTAAAGAACAAAAAGTCAAGTTCGAAATTTGGATTTATTTATTTTTCTTTTTCTTAATAAAAATGCAGATGTTTTTATATATTCATAAATTTTATTACATATTATTTGATATGAAGTAAATACAATATATTTATTTCGTGTTGTAAACCAAAAATTCATAGTTAATAGTATAATATCTATATGTATACTTTATCAATCATAATTTAGTGTCCAGACCTCCAGTCACTAATTGAGCTCAAACTCAAGCACAAACTGGAGCTCCGTCACCATCATAGGCCCAAAACCACTTCTGTGGCTACGAGCCCATATCTATTTATTCCTATTAACTAATCCTTACATCATAACAATATATTTAATTTTGTCAGCATATATCTATGCTTCTGTCTACTATGAATATATTATATACTATGAATATATTATATACTATGAATATATTATATACTAAGAATATATTATAATAGCTTAACAGTATCAATAGATATTTGAAAATCTACTAACTGTCTTGTCAATCTATAAGTTTCCACTGACGCGTTTCGCCTAGGAACTAACCATAGGCTCTTAAAAATGAGAAAACAAAAAACTCAGTATTTGTTAAGTAATTGAATGTAAAATCAAAAATTACAAAAATATAAAATTAATATAAATAATAAGTACATTATAACAAAAATACATAAAAAAATATAAAATTAATATAAATAATAAATACACTATTATTGACAAATAATAATAATAAAACAAATAAAAATAATCAGATTAATCAGATTTAGTAAATATATGATTTCATTATTCTCCAAAATCCAACAAAATTAGTGACTCAAATTAGACAGAAATTTCGATTTGTAGAGGAGGTCTTTGAAATAATCAAACGATAGAGCTACTGAATGCCAAAAATTTATACGAATCATAGAAGATTTATAATTCGAATTGTAGAGACTAACGCCTTCAAGGTGAAGGAAACATCTGCTTGATTTTAAGAAATGTTAAATTTAAATAAAAAAATATATGCATGTGGAGACAGGGCCTACTTCCCTCAATTACTCGTCTGTTCAAACAACCAACTATACCCGCTTATAACCTTAAAACTAGATGATATTATTAAACAAAAACATATATAGATTATGTTAAATTTATTATACATTCATAGATTTCCCAGTAAATGATCTATATTAATCTATGTAAATACTATTTACGATTTACATCTATTCATTTGGAGCTAATCCGATTTTCCGAGTACGCCTATTTCACAGCGGATTATAATTGCGTCAACTATTTTGAAAAATTTTTTCCATGACGCTATATGTCGGTTTAGCTTACTATACTATTTCAGATATTGCGCTATTTACTATATCCAATTTTTACATTGATTACAAAAATTGGTAACAACAACTAGACAGGTCACATGGTAAGAATAGTAGGCGCGTGATAGTTACTAATGACAGCCTGTCAGGCAAGGGAAGTGGTTTATCTGGGCATAAAATTTTAACGAGCTTTAAATAAAGATATCTCCGTTTTATATTGAGAAACCATTGTGTCAGTTTAGTTCAACGGGTAGTTTATTTGATAGAATAGCTAGTGCTATTGAACAGACATTTAAAAAGCAATACCCTGCAGTGAATATGCGTCTTCTGATAATTGGCGGACAGTAACAGAAAAGATGTATAATAACATCAAAATCCCCAGTTAATACGGCTAAGATTCTTTCTTTATGGGTACACAAATGTCACAAATTACAACCAAGCAAATTAACTCTGCGGTGAAAAAAGTATATAAATATTTTACTAAAGAAGATAAAAAACAAGTTAATTTTTTATATAAAAAATATAAAAAAAATTTAATAAAAACATAAAAAAAGAAATTTAAAAAAAACATAAAAAAAAAATTTAATAAAAACTTTCATTCATATCATTCAGTCATAATTCAATTCACAAAATAAAAAAAAAATAAAATCAAAAAAAATATATATTAAAAAAAAGTGCATTAAATCTTCTTCATAAGTAAAACTTCAGGTAAAAATATATGCCTAAGCTTGTTTTCTACAATGTCTTCATGTTTGGGCTTAGAAGGTGGTAGTTCCACTTTAAAATCATTCTTTATAAATCGCAAACTTTTCTGTTCTTCTACAATTTTCATATTGTAATATTTACATTCTTCGAATAAATCATATAAACACTTATGCAGCGTCAAACTTCTCACAAAATCTGCGGAAACTGTTAAGGCCTTACTATTGTAGGCATGTGCAAATACTAAATACAATTGCCTGTAAAAAAAAGAGAAATATTAAATAAAAATTTTAAAACTTAATTTAAGATTACCTTCTCATTTCGGGTAATTTCAATGCCGCTATTGCACAAAGCAGATGTGGAAGATTTTTAATACCATCAAAAGCACGGTAGTAATTTCCAAGCGTATAGGACTTCGATATATTAACAGCATTTTTAAAATAAGCATCTAATCTGATATAATATTTATTTATATAATACAATGTATGTATTTCAACTGTATATTATAAGTGCTTCAACTGTTCGAATATTATGATTATCAATCATTTCGAATAAGTAAACATGTATAATAGCAAATGCTTGAATACTATTTGATGCTCGAACACTATTTGATGCTTGAAATCTTTTTGATGCTCATATATTTAGTTATTTTGACAATTCTTGGTGATCTATATTTCAGATAATATGAAAGGAATTATATATACATATAATACATATAAAGGTCTGGGTTCATGTCCAGAAGCTACTTGTCGATTTCGAAGAGCAAATGCCGTTCAACACTCCCATATTAGACTACACAAGAAGGCACATCTGTTGTTTGAATTCCTTTCATGTTGTCTCCTTTATAGATCTCTGAGGATTACAGCAATAACAACTTATATGTATACATGAATGAGGATATGATAGGATAAAGGAAGTGGAGCCACTTGTCGATTTCGAAGAGCAAATATCGTTCAAAAATCCCATAATGGACTACACAAAGAGTCACATATGTTGCTTGAATTCCTTTTATGTTGTCTCCTTTATAGATCTCTAGCGATTACAACAATAACAACTTATACGTATACATGGGTTAGGATATGATAGGGTAAAGGAAGTGTGACTATTTTCAAACATCTGACAGTGCTTGAGCTATTGGCTTACTCAGTTATTCGAATATTTGAAACTCATATTTATAAGAACCTTGTTTCAAGCGGTAATGTAAAACTGCGTTGTAATGCTTCGGCAGAGCCCAGATTAAAAATTTGATAAAGTGCTTCAATAAAATTACGATTTCTCAATTCATTTAAATTTAATTTGGTGATATCGACGGTGTCATAGGCGCACAGCACACGTTTCAGACACTCCTGTAAATGTTGGTCACAAATTTTTGGATCAAAGAAATCTATAGGCTCTTCACACAATCTTTAAGAATAGAAAATTTTTTAATTTATTTAATTTTGATACTTGTATGAAAAATACCTATAACGGCTATATGCTAAAAACATAATAATTGGTTCTAATAACTTTATTGATTGGTAATTATTGAAATTCTGCATTACAGCTTCCTGTCGTACCGCACGCAGTCGATCAAATATAAAATTATATGCAAAGTTAAAAGATTTCCGTTTATCCAACAGAATGCTATAATATAAATATATTATTTTATATAATTAAAACATTTATATAAGATGGTTACTTACTCTTTAAGTAAATACGCGAGTGTGCGGTGTAAGCATTGCTCGGTGCGGATATCTTTTGCTGTTGGAAGTTTGATGCCAGCCGCTGATCTTGAAAAACATTTCACTAAAGTTCCCGGAGTTTTCCTCTTCACATCACTGTATTCATAGAAGTGTAAGACTTTTTCTTTTGTTCGCCTAATAATTAATAAAAATTATTGAAATTGATTGTTTACATCGTTTGGTAATTACAGCTTTGTTTCATTGTCAGGACAGAGTTTCTCACAAGTTCCTTTCACGAATGTACTCATTTTTATGAAGACAAAATAAAAAACAAATTAAAAAAATTGTATATTAAATATATATAATTTTTTAACAATTTTACATTTTATTTGACAAAATTTATTAGAGTTGCCATGCGTGTTTCAAAATGAATCGAAATCGTACGTGATATGTGCACGTAAATAATTTTATCTACTCTTCCAAAAACAATCACGGGATGTTACTTGTAAATTTGATTGGCATTGCGCCATGTTTATATAGCCTTTCCATTCAATATTCAGTTAAGGAAAAGCAGGATTTTGATAGATAAACTCGACTGAATTTGCCACATGGCTTCTGAGATCCAGCCCTACGCGTCCATTTTTATACATTTATTTATACTACAAATCCTCTGTATACAATTTGTGTATATATTTACAAAACGTGTGTTAATAATTATTTTGTTTGCATCATAATTTTTATAATTGGCGGCAGTAATTTCTCCAGTGCGATTCATTATAATCAGGTTGAGTATATGTTATTAATTAATTAAAATGTTAACTTATTGGCAAAATAACATTTATATATTGTAGATAATTTTTTTGGACTGAGGAATCCTGCACCATGAGCTTTGTACTTATGCAGCCATTTCTGACAGCTACGAGGAGTTCTGCTGCATACAAGCTTCTGTTTTGTTGATATTTATCGGACACTTTGTTTATACTATCGAAGTTGGCAATTTCTTTGCTAATTTCAAAATCAGCTGTTTAAACATAGAACACTCGAACTAGAAACAACTACGACATAATGTAGTCATTCTTATTAACTTGTCAGTGAATATCTTTCTAAACCATGATTTTATTATTAACTACATTAGTTGATTATAATACTAAACATTTTTATATAAAATTAATTTTTATATTAAAATCGAGATAGAAATTGGATGCATGATGTCATAAAAATTTTATTTTCTTACTTACTGCTGTTCATGGAGCGTAGGGCCATAAAAATATTACCAATTAATAAATATTTTTGAGATATATAAATTTTTAAAAGTTGATTTACAACATTGTCAAAATTTATAAATGTCATATATATGTGTTCTTATACATAACGAAACTGTGACGATCAAATCACATTATTAGGGTTTTTGATTGGTAAATCTGGATTCTCACTTTTTATCAAGTAGAAAGCACCGAAATTCATAGTATGAGACTCGTTGCTTTAATATCTTTCCTTGAGATACAACGCTGTGAATATTATTTTATCGATAAGTTTTTGGTTCAAAAATGTCAAAATAACATTTGTTTATAAAGTAAACAAGTATATGGGCCTATTTACACTATCATGAACATGAACATGAACATGAATTTGAAAACCAATTGCTTATTAATGAGAAATGGAAGAGAGTGTGATGTGAGTTTATAAATTTCAGGCAATGAAATTTGCTGCGTTTCTTCAGCTTGACACGCATATATATGCAATTTTATTATGTTTATGTTTACCTTTTAATGCTGAATACACTCAATTTATGTGCTCTGCACTACTACATACAAGCAGTTTTATACGTTTACACAAAACAAAACAAGTTTCACGCTCATGAGAATTCATTATAATGTAAACTGAACTGACAGTTCATGTTGTCGCCAAGTTCATCTCACGTTCATGATATTGTAAATAGGCCCTATCCAAACATACTGAAGGATTTGTAAACAGATTAAATACGAAAACAAATAAAAAGATAAGAACAACTGTCAAAATTAATACTTGTAGTAACTCTGAGTAACATTGTATGTACACAAGTGCATTCTACCAGCAAATTTTTAAGTAAATGAAAGTATCTGAGAGAACGTAACATGCCTGTCGAAATTTTGAAAATGATACACAGACTTTACTCGTACATTTTATTTCAATTAAAATTGGTGTGATGTGTGAATCAGCAGTTTTGATTTGAATTTAAATGTTTATATTGCTCTTCACAAATTTGTTCCATGAAAATCTGTGTAAAGAACTTAATTTGGCATTTTATTTGCATTACGCTCTCAGTTCGTACGTTACTTGTGTTTTACTACGAGTAGCTCGTGGAACAGACCTGTTATATCTGTATTAAATTTTTTTTTAAAAATTTAGGTCGTGTGCGAGTTAGGCTAAGTGGATGTTAAACCAAATGGGACTTTTCTTGGGATTTTTTGCACTGCACACATTTAGCCATTTATCAACACGTATCGACACATCACTATATTATCGGCACAACTTAGAATTTCCCTTATTTAGAACGCAACTTAGCCTAACTCGCACACGACCTTAATGATTTCATGACTAAATATTTTTAATAATAACTTTGTTTTTAACGGTATATCGACCGTTATATTCGATATATCGACTGTACTATATAGTCATCATAATAAATAAATTAATAAATGCAATTTTTTTTTTCATAAAATAGGTTGTATTAACAATTAATTATTAAAAATAATAAATAATAACAATTAATTCATTTATTTTATTCCTACTTCTATTCCTACTATTAAGTAAATTCGATTTTAGATGACATATAATAAATTTAAATACTGCTATGTTCTTGTTTTCAATTTATTATTTTTTTTTTCAATTATTTTGATTCGCAGTTTTATTTTTACTTTGTAATTTTTAGAATTTGCATTAATATTCATATTGGACTTTTTTGAAACAGCATTTACTAAAACAAAAAACATAAAAAATAAATTTGGGCTTACCTCGCACATCTTTGCATGGATTTGGAGTGGATTTTATATGGCAATATAACGGAATTCTAAAAATTTTATTAATTTGTGTGTGCAGACATCTTATAACTTTTTAATTTAATTTATTATTGAATTTATTGCACACTAATTACATATATATATGCTAATTATAAAACTAGCAAAGCATAATAACACACATCTTGCTCTTGGAAAGCATGCTGTGTTTGACATGAAAGAAAGTGTTGGTCTATTCTGAATATTATCTGTTGGTCTATTCTGAATATTATCTGTCAATCAAACATGTTTTCCAAGTAGAATTCGTAGCTTTTGTTTTGTTTTTGTTTTTTTCAAACAAAACAAACAAAAATTGGGCTTTTGTTATCAATAAAAAATGTGTAAGAACTGAAATATTTGCAATTTTCTAAAAAAAAATATTTAAAAATAAAATGTTTAAAAAAAATATTTTTATAAAAATAGTGAATTTGTAGGACAAATTTTTTATGTTATTACGCTGTGTTCCTTATATAATAATTCGCCGTTTCAAAATGTTTTCTCGTGGATTTTTAATGATAGCAAAGGCACTGCGTCGCGGTATTAGTACTGAGTTGACTGCAGCGCTTCGCCCGTTCTATTTTGCGGTGCATCCAGATCTATTTGGACAGCATCCAGTGCAGCGAAAGGTAAATGAAGATTCATTGAAGCAGCTGAGCGCACACATGGAATGCATAACCGAGCATAGATATCATCTGGATAGCAAGGAGCTAACATTTTATATACGAGTTGGTAAAACAGTAAAACGTGATAAATTTAAGACTATTAAAATAAAGTTAGGGCAGCATAACAAAGATCCAAAGATAATTGTACAAAACTTACTGGAATTATGTAATCTACCCACTGATTATGTCAAAAGTCTTAAACCGGAACCGACATACGATCCAAAAAGCTTTTCCAAAACCCACAATAACAAATCCAATTATAAACCCGGTGGCGATTATAAGTATGGCTCTGAGTTCACTGGATTTGAATCACATTTTTACAAGGTAAATTCTGATTAGATACAAATTGGCTTATAAAACTCTCTACACGTATATTAAAGGCAAAGGAAGAAACAAAGAAGACTTTACATTCGTGGATGTTAGAAAATGCGCCAGTGGCAAGAAATCGCTCCATCGAACTAGAGAGTGTAAAAGAGGAAGTATCTAAGTTGAGTAAAACGCTTGTTAAACAGTTGAATTTACGAGAGTTAAAATATGATTGCGGTTGGAATTACGACCACTTTCGTGGGTGTCTTAAATCACTGGAACGTTTAGCCAACTTGCATGCACAACACATGACAGTTTTGAAGGACAGAACTGTGGTGTTTGCCTCTTTCACTGGTGTCAGTTTAGAGGGACATGTGATGTTATTCACAGGTGATGTATTAAACAACTGGCTAGATTTCATAAAAAAAATACCCAGACAGGATGTGTTCTTAAAAAAGGTGCCCAGATATGAAAATACTCTTTCGCAAGTATTACGAAACATCAGGGTCGGCCGTAGAAAATTTATGCCTAAGCAACAAGCCGTGGAATATGCTGGTCATTTGGTAAAATTAACAACTAATCTTGGCGACTACCTGTCACGTAATAAATATCCAAAGTCTTGGCCAGAATCTTTAAATGAATATGAAATTGTTATTGAATCTGAAGCTGGTCCTTTAATGGTTAATCCAACAGGACAGTTTATAGCACCTGCAACATGTCCTGGCTTTATGTTAGTCGACTTCATAACAACGAATATGAGTATAGCCAAAGAACGCGAAGAAAAATATAAATCACAGAAAGTAATCGAACGGGAGTTAGTGAATCAATGTCAGAAGCAACTACAACTGAAATCGCTTACCAAGGATGACTCCATCATACCTGAAAAAATGATAGAAACACTAACAAATCTAATAAATTACGAAAAGGATCCCTTTAAAAATATTGATTTGCACATTACAAACTACTATTCGGTGCTTACAGATGGCATTGTATGTATTCCATGGGATTTCATGTCAAGATAGAAAATAGAAAATAATGTCTTATTTTTAAAAAATATTGTGAAAAGATTGTGCCTCAATATAATGTAATCTACGAGTATAAATGTAAAAACAAACTAAACATGTACCAATTAAATTTGTGCAATAACTAAGTTTATATTTTGTTTTTAATTGTATATAGACATAAACTATAAAAATTAAAATAAAGGAATAACGCAACTAAGTTTTAATTATTTAACTTTTTTAAAACAATATTATTGAGTCAATTTATCTCTTATTTTCTGTTCTGGATTTTTAGTGTTTATTGTTATTGTGGATATTTTTTTTATTTTAAATAAGAGAGTATTTATATTTACCATTGCAGCCTACATATATGTAACCAAAAATGATATATATTTAAACAATGGATCAAATATGTGATTAGAAGAATACTGAGTTAATGACCACCTAACTTACCTTATCGAAAACTATCATTCTCATCCCACTTTCACCAAATCCTCCAAATCCTCTGTTGATTAAACATGATCACTATAGCCTTCAATTAACATCCATCCACACCAACATCCATTTTATATCTCAAACAACAATTCTGATTCCAACTTTACCAAATTACCCAATGGTATATATAAAAAATTCATCAAAAATTATCAGCTGAACCCCCAATTAATGCTCACCAACCTCATCTACCTTCATTTAATCACAAGCTATGAATTATTATAATTTTCATATTTTCTGCTATATATAGTATGTAGATCACCACCGGTTACAACAACAACAGCTTATGGTTAGATTCAATTTATTTAAAAAAAAACTAGTTGTCGGGATTTCAGTGAGGGACAGTGATGCAACAACAAAATACATAGTACAACCGGCTTAAGCTATTTTTTTTAAATTAAACCATATTAGGTTAATTATTTTTTCAGTATTCTTTTTAATACCGAAGATTTCCATAAAATTGGTGGAAATGGAAGTTGGCAAAAGGAAGAATAAATATTAAAACAGACCAGTATCTTGTTCATTTATACAGGTATATTACCTATCATGAAAAATAATTTTATTTCAATTAATTATAATATATCAGTCGCAGCTAGAATATATAATTAATCTATTCCAATTGTTCAAATATTTTTAAACAACAATAATGGCTCGTCTTTGAGACAATTACAGAAGCTTAGTTTTAATATAATATTAAGAAGACAAGTATTAATTAAACATTGAAATAAAAAGTTTAATTTTTCTGTTAAACTTAAATTGTATTGTTTAGATTGTAGTAATCGTGAACATTTGGTCTTTCGAATCGGATAAACCGAGGTGCGTTATTTGTGACTATTATGATAATTAAATTAAGATTTTATCGTTTCCATTGGCATGAGCTGACGTATGCATGTGAAACAGTTTGTTTGCTTACATTTTACATATAAAACACATGACAAATATTGTAAGTTTTGGTAATTTCCCTTGTGGGAAATTCATTTTTAACGGTTGCATTCGACATTTTTCGTCTTAAATAAATTGATTTATTTATAATGTGCTAATTTCTATCAGAGCTGTTTGGCAAATTATACTCATTGAGGTGCATCTACACCAAAGCGAACGCTTGCGAATGAACGAACATTCGCAGGAATTGTACTTTCTAAAGTTCGTTCGTTCACAAGCGACCGTATTAATGTGGATGCAAATATAGCGGCCTAAAACATTTAATCTGCCTAAATGAGACCAATGGAAACATGGTATTATTTTATTTTGCATAAATAAATATTTTTAGTTTTTTATGTTTATACGGAGTTTTTTAAATTTTTAATTTTTACTATTTTGTTTTGCTTATACATCAGAAAAAATAAATTTTTGTGAGTAATTTTTAAATTTGTTATTATAATTATAGATGAATAAATAAAATCATATTTTACTTGATTATGGTATAATATAATAAACGCGGAATAGAGGAAAAAGTCGCAAATGTTAGTATTCACTGCTGACTTCAGCGCACAACAACCCTGGTAATCTTGTTATATGTATCGCGAACAGCTGATTATTGTCAAATAAAATTGCTATCGTCGCGGAAGAAAGACAGAAACAAAGGAAATATACATTTTGGAAAATAAATCCGCCATATTTACCGGCAATATTTGAAAATATTTACCTAATTATAGAAGTAAACAAAAACAAAAAAGTTCATTTAAAAAAATTATTAATAAATTTTTCGATACATAAACAGTAAAAGTGTTTTTTTTTGGCGGCAATAAAGAAAGTCGTACGCCTTCCATGCTTGTGACAAGAAAATTCGCAATATATTAATTTTAATATTTATATATTTTATAATTGTTTTCAACGTAATATCGAAATAACTTTAATTAATACACATAAAAAATAACTAAATGATTTATAATAATAGAGATAAATATGGCAAACCATAGTTTTCAGATGAATTCGTTGGCGCCAATAGTGAATAACTTATCATTGGCTTCGGCCGCAGCGCCCTGCCCTAGTAGTGCAACATCGCCGTTATATTTCACACATGTATTGCCGCCTTCAACAACAATTGTAGAGCAGCCATATGCGTCCGATTTGGATCAACATTTGGGTGAAAGTTTCTTAATTGAGGAAATCATAGACGATCGCGACGAAGAGGGTAATATAGTGTTAGATGCTGGTGGCGAGTATTTTATAACGGGTGATAGTGTACAATATTTTTCAATACCTGATAATGGTGTGCTTGCGAATGTGGAAGTTGCAGCAGAAGAATTGCCGCCACAAATAATTATGCAACAAACCGATGATGAAGATGAGGAAAGCGATGAGTACATAAATACTACGCAGAAAGCTTATGTGGAAAGCGATTTCGCGAGTTATGTACCAAACAACTTAGAATCGAATAATTTTCCAAATATTAAAATGGAAAATGATGATAATAGTTTTGATAAGTGTGGATGGATTAAAGAGGAAATTGTTGAAAATGATGGTTTAATTAACGATTCCAGCTGCTCTACATTTAACGGCTTAGAAAGTTACGTAAACGATGATGAGAACAAAATTGTCAATTCAAAAAAGCTATCATTGAAACGTTGGAAACAGACTAAAGTACCTATAAGAGTGACACAGGATGAATTTAATGTAACACTGTGGTCATCTTTGAATTCTGAGGATGAAGATGATGAATCACAAGGTACCAAAGAAAACGACTCAGATTCGAACTTTGAAAAATTAGTGATTGATGATGGTATCATACATAGTTCTGATGAGTTAAATGGTAGCAACTATATTATATTGCCAGATCCCTTTACTGGGACCATTGAAGAAGAAGTCGAGACTGGCTTAAGTGAAGAGATCAAAGAGGAGAGCGAACAATCAATTGAAATATCAGATGATTTTTATATGAATAATCATGAATTAGATTACGATGAATTAATAAATTGCAATGAAGATGTGAAAGATGAAATCCAATCGAAGGAAAATGAACTTTCTATTCCGTTAATGAACTCAGTACCGAAATTAATATTTGATAAATGTGTATCGAATATGCGGTTAAAACCGATATTACCACAAAAAGCCACATCCACTCAGATAATAAGTACCACAAACTCCGCACGAACGAATAATACCACAGAAGCTGTTAGTACGTCAGCAACAAACTCTGGTAGTACAAAAGCAAGTCCGTTTCGTTGTACGCATCGTGGCTGCAATAAGGAATTCCGAAACCACTCTGCAATGCGAAAACATATGCATACGCATGGACCAAGAGGGCATGTCTGCGCTGAATGTGGGAAATCATTTGTAGAAAGTTCTAAACTTAAACGCCATCAACTAGTGCATACGGGTGAGAAACCATTCGAATGCACGTTCGAAGGTTGTGGAAAACGTTTCTCGCTCGACTTCAATTTACGTACACACGTACGCATACATACTGGCGATAGACCATATCACTGTCCTGTAGATGGTTGTTCCAAGTGTTTTGCACAGTCCACAAATCTAAAATCACATATGATTACCCACACTAAGCCCAAACGTAAATGGTCACGTTTAAATAACAATCAGTCAAACACTAAACCACTAGTGGCGCGCTATGGCCGTCTCGAATTAGGCGAAGATCCGAATTTGGTGTATTTACTACAAAATCCATAACCCCAGATATGCTAAGCATAATAGAGTTAAAATTAATCATTTTCTTTTTTCATATGTAAATTTATATAATTAAGTTTTAATTAAAGAAACTAGCATAGCATTAAGAGGATTAAAATGTAAACAAACATAATTAATTGTTACTGAAATACATTAGTGAAATGCCACCTTCTGCATTGTGGATGAATTTTGAATATTCTCTATTTTATACTAGCATTAGAAACTGTTCTCCAGTAATTGCAAGGTGTCTCACGCCGGATTATCAGTATCCGAAACTTTTAGGAGCTAGGAGCAGTTCATTTGGAATGTTTATTACATTTATATTATTTTGTATGTAGTTTTTAATATTGTACAGTTTACTACTGATTAAGTATCATTATAACTATTGTATTTAGTACTATAATATATTAATATAAAAGTTCAATTTTACTTTCATTGGTAAATTATATGAGAATGAAGGTTCTACACAAAATCAGTGCAGAATATTACATAGTTAAGATTAGTTTTAAAATGTTAAGTGCATTCAAAATATTCACTGTAGCATTACTTTTCTAATGTATTTTTATAAGAAAATAATTATGGATTAAATATTTATTAAAATTTAAAAATAATGTTTTTTATTTGTATGTATTTAAAGAAATATTACATGGTATGAGGTATACAAACTATTGCCAAGTGTGGTATGAATAGACATTAACTAAGTGATATAATATTTATAATCGAGTAATTACTAATATCATTTTTTATATATCAGATCTTGAAAAGTCCGATGAAAGCTGACTTGTAGAGGCTGTTGCGTTATTGCGCAAACACCCCTCAATCAGTAGTAAATCCTATTTGCTAATTAAGTTGAAGAGTTACTTATTGAGGAAATTGCAAACAGATTCTTATTTCGCTAAGAACTATTGCTTCATATGGTTTATAAAGGCAATGTTATTAAAAGCGGAAAGTATAAAATAAATATAAATAATAATATAGGCAAAAGAAAACATTTTTTTTTATTAAATTTAGTTAAACCAATTTATTGTGGTGGTTAACCATTGAGACCTATATAGCAGATAACATGGAAGGAATTACAAATAAGTGTACGTAAGTTCGTTCATGTTTATGTAAAGAAAGCGGGAAAGGGGAGGGGATTTAGAATGAGAACAATTTCAATTAAAGTAAATGCGAAGAAATCTATCCATAGGACGAATCCAAAGATCAATTGTACTCAACTTGGTGTGTTCGTTAGGACAAAAACAAATGGCTAAAATGTTCACAGTCAGTTACGAATCCTTTCGTTCCCACCAGCAAAAAGATTTCAATTCGGTAACATTAAAATATTAATAACGTTAATGCATTTTAGCCATTTCTTTCAGTGTTCAGTAATAAAGTGAGATAGATAGGCATAACATTAGTTTTATTTAAAATATAAGGTAGGATGATAGTAATTATCTGTAGTCATGTAGAACATTAAATAGAATCGTCGAGCAAACGTAAATGTTCTTGACTTAGACTTAAGTACCATAACCTTTACAAAAATGATATGAAAGCTAGAAATTATTGAATAGACAACTAATTATAACAACTTATTTGCCTTTATTCGTGTCTGCTAGTACTTATTTTAAAGATTTCTTCTCAAGACGAGGAATATAGAAATTAAATAAATTTTTTTCAGTCTTTTTGGCTAGGAGAAGATTAAAAAACTTAGGGTAACTTTTCTCACCGACTTTATAGAATTGCCAGCTTGCGAACTTAGTGATATGGCTAAGTTAATTGATTTATCGGTTCGGTTCACTTTTACTTTAATTGGAAGATCATGATTTGTAGCGTTGTCTGTAAGGCGAAGTACGGGGGGGTACATCTGGTCTGTGTATAAACAAAGTTAATTCATTATTTTAATCATTAAGCTATTATTTAAGCTCAAACTTTATTTTTACTCAGTTTTATTCTGCTATATTCTGCTATTATTAGTAATTGAAGTCGAGTGGGCTTTAGTGTACAAGACAGCAAGGAAGTTTGGGTTTTAGATATGACCACTCCTGGAATATATTTCTGTGAAAACATTATTATATACTGTTCAATTACAGATAGAATAATTATTTCTAAGTCCAATTTAACAGCATATATTTTTAAACTTGATTATGTAGATTGGTTTTCTGAATAATTCTAATACATACATATATAGTTGTTTCTCTAGAAAGGAAAGCCTTAATAAAATATTTAGGTTGTATAGAACCGGCATGGTTGATATAATATTAATAAAACATAATAGTATAAAATTTTATAATAATTTGCAGCTAATGTATGGTCGGCCAAAATTCAATTAATTAAAAAGATATAAAAATAATTTTTGTTGTAATTTGCTACTTTTCGAAACCTCTACATAAAATAAAAACATTTATAAATAATAATAATAATAAATAAATATAATAATAATAAGTAAAAGTAATAATATATAAAAAAACACTAAATGAAATTCCTTATTCCTTTCATGTTTTCTTTTACATAAATTCATAGAATTTTCGAAAAAAAGAAATTTTATTAACAATTTTATCTACATAATTAAAAAAAAAGCGTAAAAGTTTTTGAAATGTATAACGTTAAACAAATATAATAATTTATTAATTGAACTTAATTGCATAAATTTAAGCCACAGTTCATAGGTCAAAAAGTCACAATTTTGTTTTACATTTAATTGCAAAAAATTAAATTATAATAAATAAAAGTAAGTTGATAAAGAGCAATTTATATTGCTTGAATACCGCTTTCTAAACTCGGAAAAACAATTTTCAAATTTTTTCAAACTCCCACCTTACGACCATTTGACAAGAAACTACTAGTTTTTAATGTTATTTTAATAATCGTATAATGAAATATAATATACAAACGTTTATATAATTTTTAATATTAATTTTAATTAGGTTTTTCTTAAAAGAAACTGTAACAGTTTTTCCTTTTGCATTAAAACTATTTAAAATTGCTATTTAGAGTAATACTTGTATTTAATATATATTTCGAAATTTACATAAATACGTATGTGCTACTTATATATAAAGTTTTAATTAATAAAAAAATATATATGTAAAAACAGTGATTATTTGTTCGTTATAACGCTTTAAAGCTAATTATACATAAAAGTGCTAGACTGAAAGTATATACTGCATATAGAATAAATACTTCAAATTTTTGTATTTGTTTGCATACCAAATGAATGAGTTTTTAAAATGTTAATTAAATAAGTGTGATTTCAAATACATATACATATATTTTATATGCTAACTTATTGCTTTGTTAATTTACATTCGTACACTATTTAAATATTTATATTATTTTTCCTTGCCAGCACTTTATAATCAATTATTATGCATAACAAGTAGGTTTCTGACGAAAAACATAAACTTTTAAATCAGTTGATTTGTCAATAAGCGGAGGAACTTGTAGAAGGAAGTTGAAAAGCGTTTATCGATGCTACGAACTAAGAAATATTTTATGCGTTTCTAAAACAAACTTTTGTACTATTGAACACTTGATTGTTCATCAAGACTAGTTGATGTTGAGGTTATTCCCAGCAAATTACCCGTAAATGATAACAGCACCGAGTAATTAAAATACCAAAATAGGCAGAAGAGTATTGCCATTAAAACATCTGAAAATAATTTGTTTACATTAATTAGCCATTCAATTGCACAAATTACAAACACATACGTATTGTAACACGTTCCCATTTCTCTACCATATACAATTCGGTAACCATTAAATATCGAAACCACCAGTAATTACAGAAATCAAAGAAGTTTTGCAACATTTTCACAGATGTTTAATTAAACTATTTGTTTTTATGTATCAAAGCGAACTGCTTCCTATCAATTGATTGATATGTGCCTTGCACTCGCTCTTATCTATAGCTCCGAAGTGTTTTCCTAATAATATATCAAATAAATTAAATATAGTTAGTTATCTTCGATTTTTAATAACTATAATTTTTGATAATAATTTGGAATGCGGCGGATGACAACACCTGGGGCTGCTGTTGTTCAACATAAATAACACGAGCGCATGGTTGCATTTTTATGGTCTGCTAGATTTTTGTAAATAAAAATGTTATAATAATGGACAATGCACAGTGAATTATGAAATGTGTAGTCATGAATTAATAATCTCTTGGCATTCAGCGAAGTTTTTTAGTTTCCTAAGTGATTTTGACTAATATTTAATTTAATGATGAGTTTAATATAATAACAACTGATGTGAATTGGTATCATATATGGCCTTACCAAAAGAAAAAAAAATTTAAAAAATTTTAATATGCAATAAATTAAACAACACCACGTCCTATAAGAATCTTCAATAAGAATTTTCAGGATATGTTGCTTAAATAACTATTAAGTCCTACAAGGAGGTTTATGATATTTAGGATGCAAAATTATTTTTAAAATTAGTCGATTTTTAATCAGCAGTGCTATAGTATAGCGAACTGATGATGAAAAGTATTTTATTTTATTCTGATTCTCTAATATAATAAAAGAATTTAATATTTCTGGCGCAGAAACAAAATGCTATAAAATAAATTATTATAATATAGCACAAAATAAATTTGCCATACAAATGACAAATTATAAATATTAAAATACATTTTAAGTCATAACAATTATATTCTACAGCATTTATTTTTATTTTTATTATATAGGTTGTTAAATGTGTGCATAAACTTGAAATGTTGATGGGTAACTTGATATTTTTTTACGTTCCTACTTGAACGTGAAATATCATATCCGATACATTTTACAAGACTTGAGATCCTACGAGAAATGTATGAAGGGTTGTGTCAAGAGTTTGCATAGCACTTGATCAGCTATAAAATAAATTTTAATCGGTTGATAATCTTTTTATTTTTACTAAAGCTTACATTTGGAAATATAAAATATTAAAAATAAATCAGTTTTAGAGTTGATAAAATTGTTTAATCTTGAGATGACGTTTTATATAAACTGCTGCAAATGGTTACTGCGTAGTGTAATATTTATTATTATTAATATATTGTATTATGTTTTAATTTTTAGTAATATTTACACAAATCGGAAGATTAATTTAATTTATTTTAATAATTAAATATTGTTCTAATTTTTTTCTGTGAAATATTTTTGTTCGCATTAAACTACAAAGTGAGTTAGCAGAAAAGCTAATTTTAGCAATTACTTACGCCATTGTTTATTTAAATTAAAGTCAATTTGAGTTCCTAGAGTTTGAAAGGTTCCGTGAGTGTTTTTATAAAATTTTTATGCCAATTATTTATAACAAAATTTTAGATTAATATATTTCTTTAAATCGAGACTCGAAGTTTGTTATATTTAAATCACTGAACACACCCTACAGCATAAACAAACCCCCAATGCCTGTGCGTTACAATTTAAATTTGTTTTTGAATTAATTGAATTTCCAAGAAGTATATTAATTTTTATTAAGCTACCTACTTATTTTATAATGAAATGAAATCATAAAATAGAATTTTATTTATTTTCGTTAAGTTTTTAATTTATTGTGCTTCTTTATGATTACATGGTATATATGTATATCGTTTTATCGTTATAAACATTATAAAAATATACATTTAAAAACAAAAAATAATATCAAATTAAAACTATTTAAATTTACGAACAAAATCATACAATTTTATTATTTATTTTTTAAAAATATACAAATGAATATTTATAATTAAACATTTTAAAATATTGCAGCAAAAAATGCATAGAATATTGTAAAGCAACTGATCTATAAAAATATTTGTGTAAGTTCGTACGATCCTTTCAGTAATGTTTGTAAATTGATTTATTTAATCGTTTATTATATTTGTGTGGTGTACATTTAATTATATTAAAAATTAATGTTTAGCTATAAATCGAACTTAAATTAATTATTATAACTTTTCTGTTAATGCATTTAGATTTTAAAACTAAAACATTTTGGCACTGTAAAAAAATATTAAAATAACTAAGCAATTGAAGAAGAGGACAAAAGCCGAATTAAATTAAATCAAATAAAATTAAATTTTATTTTGATTACTGTGTGAAATAAATGTGGTCTCCAATTAATAATGGATTCATCATATTATATATAATACCCGTTTTTGTATAAAATAATTTATTACACATACATATTTCGTTATAAAACGTTCCTAAATTTTTATAGAAATTTTTAATTTATTTTTTTTTTTTGTTCACTATTTTTAAGTCTGGAGAAATATTCAAAGCTCATGCGTATCAGTCAAGCATATAAACGTTTAAACAATGATTAAAATTATAAATATTATTATAATAACAATAATAATAATTTATTTGCTGTTGCCAAACTGTAGCGAAACTGTAGCCGAAACCTCCATACTCTAAATATTCCTTTGCGATGAACCATGTCCTCTCTAAACCATGCCGTAATCTGTGCAGACTGCAGTGGGTTGGTTATTTTGTTGCTTTTCTTTTGCGGTATTAGCCGCTGCAGCCGCCGCAGCCATATTGAGTTCCACAAGCGTATCGATGCTATTTAAACTGACACCCTGTAGTATCTTCTGCGCAGCTAATGAGGTAAAATTAAAGCTCAAATCGGTTAAACTTGGAAAATTGTATAGGTCTTCAGCACCTGTTGGCCCACCGCATGCTTTCTCCTTTGTCAGACTAAACCGACGATCGAGTGCTTCCTTCTCAATAGACTTGTCCGTACCAATTGCACAATTATTGTCCTTCAAGGCCAAATTCGGTTCACTGCCTACCGCAATCATATTCTTCTGCAATAAATGCGCTATGTCGTCGCCATTGATGGCAGGATTGGAATTAAGTAAATTGCCAGATTTTTGTAAGTTTCCCACAGATTCATAACACAGATTCTTCAGATCGCAATGCGAATTCATCAATTTACCCTGTGTTTCGTTTACGCTTCCCTTCTCGTAGAAGCGCAAATTATCAATTGAACCAGCAATTTCAAAATCTTGTTTAGCTAAGGCTGCCATAGTCAACGTTTTTTCCCCGCTCGGTGAAGTGGGATTGGACTCGTTTTTCAGGACGTTATTCTTGTAAACAATATTGTTTGAACCGTGTTGTGACAGCTGCAGACCGAGCTTACGGCTGTTATTCATAGTGGCGTCATTGTTTATGTTCTTGGTGAATTTCGAATTGTCTATTATTTCTGTTGAGCTCAGCGTATCCAGATTATCGGGCGATGTTTCACTGATAAATGATATGGAGTCACAAGTCTCGGAATTTGCATCATTTTCACTGATAGAACTTTCTTTATAGAGATGCTTGTTGAGTTGCTCCTGTTGCTGACTTTTCATGGGCGTTGTTTGGTGCTTGGACAGCGTCTTCTTAATGATTTCTCCCTTTTCATTGGTGGTGGTCTCGTTGTTGATGATGAACACATTTGAGTTTTCCATTAGTTTGCCATTTTCCAGCGTTATAACGCTACGCACTGGTGAATTTTGTACGAATATTTTTGTGCTTGGAATACTGCTCTGGCTGCCATTTGAGGTGGTCACTTGTAGTGTTATTGAATTGTTGGAATTTGAATTGGGCACACTATTAAATGTAACCTGTCCAGCTGATGATGAGCAGCGACTACTACTGGTTTGTTGTTGTTGCTGTTGCTGCTGTTGTTGATTGGTTATTTCTTCCAGTATGCGTGATGGTGTCGATGAACGATTGCGCTGCGATTGCTCAGCGGCACGTGCACGCATAACTTGATGTCGTGGTGTGCCTCGTGGTGAACCGTTCAGCACCAGTATTGAACGTGCTGGGCTTGGTTGTATCACAGCTGTATTTGTAGAGCACTGTGAGTCTAGACTAGAATGACCACTGGTTTTGCTAAATGATACTTTGCCGCTGTCTATGCTTGAAGGTCCAGATGTAAACATTGAAGATGCTTTGCCTGATTCAAGACTGGATGGACCGCTTTGTGCGTTGCGATAACATGTTTTATTATCCACATAACCATTGACAATTATATTGTCTGTCTGTCGCTTTGGAAGCGATTTGAGTGTAGCCGTTGAACGTGACGGAGACTGTGACTGTTCGAAAATATGTTTGCCAATGACGCTCTTTTGTGCAGTTTTGTGCGTGCTGTTGGTGGAGTTGGGCGTTGAGAGACGTGAAAGTGTGGCTGAAGAATGATTTGGTTTTGTACTGCCTACAATACTGGAAACAGCACCACTCGCTGTTGTAGGTATAGATTGTGTTGAACGTGGTAGGGAGCTGCTGCAGTAGACGGGCGAACGCCTTCTTATGGGCGAACAATCACGTGACGATATTAAAAACGTTGATTCACTGGACATATGCCGACGATGTCGACGCGGTAAAGTTGATGAACGTTGACTTAGCTCAGAACCATCATAGAAAGTTGAATTCGAAAGCGTATGTGTAACTGGTAATTCCTACAAAAAGAAAAGGATTTCATTTCAATATTTTGGTACTTGAAGAGAGTGCATTAAAGTCTTACATGATCTGTAGTCTGCGTACCCACACTGTGTAAGTGTACAGCTCTAGAGTTGAACCATTCGGCAGGCGGAAATTGCGCTGAATATGTTTCGATTTGACGAGGCTTAGCGCGGCCACTTCGCCTAAACAGACGCGAGAGTAAAGATCCTTTTTCTATAATTAATAAAAAAATAATTTAAAATATTTAATTTATTATTTATTATTAAAATAAGTCATAAGACGGTTAATAATTTAAGGAAACAGTGTTACAACAGCAACTTCAGTAGATTACATGTAATGTTTAGCTTTCTGTTAAGTCTGAGTGAAAGATTTGATATGATTCTTTATTTGAATTAGTAAAAACAGAACCACATTTCAAACAAAAATTTGTGCAATACATGGATGAGTTTACTTCAACCCTGAACGTAACTTTCAGAATCAAAGAATAGCCATCCTAACTGATAGCCATGTAGCAATAAAGCCACTCAATTCTTATCAGGTGACTTTAACAACTCTAGTAATGAAATGTTTCATTATGCTCAATATATATTAATATTAATACAATAATATATATTAATATATTAATCAGATATAGATCTAATATGACTCTGGAAAGTATATGGATTTCCAAAAAAAAAAAATGAGCATCCTTGGTAGGCTAGGATGTTGTGATAGTTTTGAATCAGATGACCAGCATAAGTAAATCACAATTAGGTACATCATAATTATTTAATTACCCAGCGTCCTTCTTTGTAACAATGCTAAGTGGGTATCTCATACCGGATATAGGATCCCGAAAGAAATATGACTAGGTTAGTAGTTTTAATACTTCATTTTATCAAGAAAATTGGAATCAGAAGTACTGCGAATCTTTCTTCAGGGATTAGTCTAATGATAAGCATAATAACTACAGCATTGTGGTTTCTTAACTTATCTGAAAAACTTGAATTTACTTTAAACTATTGTCACACTTACTTGGTGATGAAGAATCTGTGCTTTGATACTCTGAGCTGCTGCTATCAGTGGCTAATGTTTGTGCATAAGTTTTGGATAGACTTCTTGTAGAAGCACAACGTTGTAAGCGTTTCGATGAGCCAAACAGTCTGAGACTATGCCTTCGTTCTAAACTACGTGGGGTAGGAAATGAAGCACTGCGTCGTTTAGCAGCACGAGGATATAGAATTTTGTCGTTCGGATTACCTATGTATATAAAATAAAAACATAAATTAAATTATATATATTGAGATTGACAAAATGTTGGGTTATACTCGCCTCCACATATAACATCCGCTAAATTGGTTTGTATACATTGATGCGTAAGATCACCATCACGTTCTGTTGATATTTCTCCATACAGAGAATGTAAAGCTTCGGCATTGGTCATTAGCATAGTGCGCGCCTCCTGAGGTATCTCATCAACTTCCTCGAAATCCTGATAAGCTATATTACGTATATTACGTGGACGCGATCGACTACGACGTCGTCTGAAAAAGAGTTATAGTGGATATATTTTACATTTTGATAGTCACTAATAAGATTTTGATGACTTACTCTGGTGTAAATATAAAGTAACCCTTGGATGTTTGGTAAATTTTTTGCTCCTGCATTAGTTGTGCTAGCGAGTCATAAATAACTTCAATGGCGGGTGTTGTCATGTGTGGAAATCGTATGCTTAGCTTGGTGCGTATATTCTCAATTGTCGCCGAGTGTCCCTCTGCTGTTAGGTCCATTATAACATCACAGAGCGCTTCGGGCAATGGTGTGAACTGTCCTTGAACTGTCGGTGTGACGATGCAGTCATCGATGTCACCTAAAAAGTAAAATAAACAAATATAGTAATTAACTTGTGGATTTGTCAGTTTGGCACAGTGTCATTGATCGTTTAAACAAGTTTTAATTGGTATTTTTTGTGGTAAACAATAAACAATAAGAGACATAACCTCAACATGGTTAATTGAAATTATGTTGCTAAAAGCCTTTTCTGTCGATCGGCTTGTATTTTTACAACGCGTGCTGAATTCTTTTTCTATTTTCAGTTTCAGTTTGCTAACAAGTTTATTATTTAAGGCTAATTAAATGGCTATTTTAGTATTTCAGTTGTCACGGCGAAGTGCAGCGCTGGTGCATGGTTTCGTTTTCAATGGAATCTGAAACTCAATAAAGACAAGACAAGCCAAGTGCATTTCTGTCTTACAAGTATTTTAAATAATTTGAAACTGAAATGTTGTAAACATGTTTTGAAATTGCAAATTAAATATTTAAAGTTAAATACGATGAGCATTTATGTAAACCCATATGAAGTTGTCTGTCTGTCTCTCTGTCTGTTGTAAGTCTGTTGTAAGCCATTAAAATACTAAGGTTAGCCGACTTACGACTTAGCCGCCTGTGCTTAGCTCTGTGTAAATCACAGAGTTTGTTTTTCATTACTGGTATCATAAAAGTAAATTAGATTATCCATGGTTATATTGCCTTCAAAGTTATGATGAATGATGAAAAAGTGTTTGAAAATTTTAATAACTCATAAAAGTGTTTCATGTAATCAATGCTGCCTTACTAGACTCATTGGATGAAAGTATTTTCCACTATTGGTGTAATTAGGTAGCGATTCAATAAGTGGTTTTATTTTTGACAACAGAGTTACACGGCTTTTAAGAATAGAACATGTGGAGAGAGATTTGATCAAATATACAGTGTTTTTATCCGTCTCAAATATTTTATTAAAAATTTAATCAATAATTCATTTAAAATGTTCCATCTGATCAATCATAATACATATAACATTAAATAATTACAATTAATGGATGAGCAGATGATGTATGTCCACTTTGCTATAGTAGCTCCAGTCTTGAATTTATTGTACGAAAATTCTTTACACAGTCCCAGCTGCAATTTTAGGATGAGATCATAACCCGCGTGTATACAGTTGTATCTTATATATAAGATTATATATAAGCATTATAACAAATAGAAGTAGAACAGAGAAGGATGTTATTGTCAGAATCAATAACATCAGAGGTGCTTCTAAATTTAAAAAGATATGGAAGTTCGGTCATACATCCACTTTAACAAAACTTCGCATTCAATACTTGCATAGGTAATATTAGGAATCTTATAAAAGTAAATTGTTGAAGAGTACTACTACAATCTAGGCTTAATAATCAGATAAACGAATATCTTTGAAGAATCTTGCGAATCTGTTTGTCTCAGAGAATATGCTTTATCGATCTGTGGGTTCAGAGTAGCCAACTAGAGCGATGGATAAAATTCAGAGACCTCAATTGGATACAGTCTCAAAAGCACTATAACAATATCGCTCAAAGGTTACTGAGATGGCAACCGCGGAATACTGAGTTGAAGAATCAATCCCAGATCAAGTATTCCGACCTTGATTAGAAGGAGACCAGTGAAACGCGAATTGAAGGTTACAAATTTTTCATGAAATGATATTGTTGTCCATAACAAATATCGATTTTAATTGATAACAGAGGTTCTATGCTTCACCTAGAAGAAAAAAAGCACTCACATATATATATATACAATGGAAGTTGTTGCAATATTATTACAATTGAAGATATGTAGGGGATCGGGGGAAGGGGATCGGAAAAGTATTTATACCATGCGCAGAATGTTAGGGAGGGAGCGTTACAAATGTTGGTGAGTGAATTAGTGAGGGAGTAAGTAAGTTGATTGAAAGAAAATATAAAGTACAATTAAAGAAATATGATAGAAATGATAAATATTCAATTAAAATGAGACTATAAAATATTAAAATTAGGTGAACGTTAAAGATGCACTCTATACCCAAGGTTTAATTGAGTTTAAACTCCTTTAATACTTGTCCGGTTAAAAGTATTATTATAAATCAAAGTTGATAGATCAAAATCAGAGAAACGCCGTAGAGAATTTTTTGTTATTGGATTTATTACAATACTTGTTTATTTATTATAAAATTAAAAAAAATTTTAACGAATATAAAAATTTCAAGGAAACTTTTAAAAATATTTACTTTGTGTACTTCATGACCATGTATGGTTCATATAATATTGAAGCTTCTGAGATAAAAAAGATTTTGATTAAAAAGTGAAAGTTAAAGTTTAGTGTTTTTATTAATTTTAATACAAAATAAACAATAAGTAATAAAATTTTAATATATTTATTATAAAATTTTTAATAAATACGTAAATGATTGTTGAAACGAGTATTTATTCATTGTAAAATATTTCAATACCAGGTAGGAGTACTTCTGCATTCATAAATAAACCTAATTATAGGTTTTGTAAAAAGAAGGAGTTTCTTATAATCAATTACGTGTAGTAGTAACTCATTTAATAGATTCCATAAATAGGATAGTTTCTCCTAATGTTTGGAGGCGACGCTTGAGATGTTGTAGTGTGAAAATATTGTGGCATTAACAGTAGTTAGCAATACTAACATTTTTGAAAATATTTAATAATTAAATTAAAAAACCATTTTTATAGTTTCGTAGAAAAGGGTATTTTCACTTTTAATAAAAAGCTATTTTTATTTTTCCCTTAGAGCCTAAAAATAAATTATTTAATGTTCATTTCAATCTAAAAATATATTATTTAATATTTTTACTTTTTAATTAATGTTATTAATATTTTAAAAATAACTTCAAGTTTACAACTTCATTAACAATTAAAGTAGTGAAAACTATTATTATATACATTTTTTAACTCTTAAAATAAATCTTGCAACTACTAGGGACTTGCATTCCAATGGTGATTTTATCAAGAAGAAACTGTGAGATAATAAAAATTATTTTATAAGAATTAATAGAAATTATATATTTCGAGAACTATTCTTAACTGGAACTAAATTATTATATAGTATCTAATCATAATTCTAATCATGACGAACCTAAACCTATCAATTTAACCTGTTATAGTATAAATTTCTTAGTGCATATCCGTACCATATCGTCAGTAAATCCTGTTTGCGAATGAAATTATAATCTTATCTTAATTCAATGGTTCTCAAAAATATAGCATATAAAGAGATAAAGAATATAAAACCATTTTATTAAACAAAATATACTAATTGTTAAAACGTATGACCAATTTCGAGATCTTATTACCATTTCAATGGCTAAATCTGTATTCAAGCTAGATTTATTCTAAATCTGTCAAGTTTTCTTGCCCAATCAAACATTTTTGAAGTGATCTAGCATTTTAGTATTAGTGTAAGTAGAGATTCATATTTTTCATAAATACATTTATCGAATCAAAACATATCGAATTATTTGTCAGGTCATATAAAACCGTTCTTAATTTCAGTGTAATCTTGCTACACTGTTAAAATATCTAGAGTGTTATAATTAAATCTTAAGTGTTATACATTTCGCTCAAGATTGCACTAATTTTGCACTTAAAGTGAATCCCATTTAAAAAGGCTACCCCAGAGTTATCAATCGAAAACGGCATCAGTAAGCTCATATCATTGCTATCAAACCAAAATTTATTTGACAAGTCATATAAAACAGTTGTTAATTTCAGAGTGATCTGAAATTGCTCTGAAAAAATTTGCCTGCCAGAATAGCAGACAAAACAACAAGAGGGTTATAAATTAATCTTGAGTGTTATACATTTTGCTCGAGATTTATCAACAGCAAATGAAAATTGTACTAAAAGTGTATTTCGAATGCAAAATTTTTCCTAGATTTAACAATCGAAAAACGCCCTTCATCAATTTCCAGTCTACCTTTATGCCCATGCTTTCTGGCTTAGATTCACCTAGTCCGCTAGGTATTAAGCCCCTTGCTCTCATCTGTCTCCATTGATTATTAGAATGATGAGTCCACATTGTTGTGAAAATTTTTCTCATATATTCTTAAAACGTGATTTGAATGGATTTAAGCCTCACACTATGGTTTTTGATGCTTTCTACTTACTGTAAAAAAGAAACCAATCAAAAACGGTACTACTTTAATTTAATTTTCTTTTATGCATATGTTATAATAGCTGAACCTGTTTAACAGAATAATGTAATAATTGGTCTCCTCTATTTGGTTTAGATATTTTATCTTAATTTAAGAGTTTTCGTCATACAAAAGTATACGTTTGATCTTAAGCCACGGATAGACCTATTGCTTTCTAATGGTTCGAGTCAATCTTTTTCTAGTAAGCATTTTTGTGAATTTACTCGTAAAAATTGTTTGAAATTTTTGTCCTTAAAGGAGTCATAAAACATTTTCATGATTTTCAATGCATATTTTTAGAATAGACCTCGCTAGGTTTGAGATCAGATCCCATATACCGTAGTTCTAGTACACACTTACAGTACTATTAGAGCGTTCGTATAAAATATTTAGTGTAGTATGATTTGTAGTGAAATCAATGGATCCTACCTATTATACCAATTAAAGTGAAGCTTAAATTAGTTACACTGAACAGTATAAAAAACTCCCAAAAACGTCTAATGTAAATTTATATCCAAATCAAATTTACATTTTGAGCATTTTTGACAAGTAACATTTTATTATAAATCATTGGTCATTAACTGTTTTAACAAGATATATTTTAATTAGCAATTTAATTTGATTGCCAGTACAAAATTTACATAATTTCCTTGATAATATAATTGAAATGACTCCCACAATTGGCACTTGTTTGGTAGTAACCGGGAAACCGATGTCAGTTTTATAACATTTAATGACTGTTTACGTGCGTTCATCTGCAACTTCATTCCGAATATAGAAATCACACAGATGCTGCTGTCTAATTTAACCTCTAACTTCAAATTAAAATGAAAAAAATCACTAGAAATAAATACTGTGAAATTTTTAGTGAA